AAGAACGAGATTGGGAAATATGAACGCGGGGGAAATGGTTTGTGGATGAGGGAGATTGGACGGAGAGGAGAAGCCTGTGATAACGACATAGGACGCCTACGGATTCTTTTTGCCGCCATACCGCACATGAATTTTCCCCACTTTGGAGTAACGTCACAGACAATCCCACCATTCGACGGGCCCCGGAGAGGCGCCAATACTCACACACACACACACTACCATATGGCTTATGATAAAGTTATAAATACTGTGGGACTTCCACGATTCATGCTCAGTCGATAAATGTTAAGCTTACCTCTTGGTTGGTGTCTTTCAAGCTCCCATTAGTGGTCTGTTAACTTTGGCTTTTTTTGGTCTTTGGCGTTTGCGATTGTGGATTACAATAAGTTTTGCAATTTTCGTGGAGATTTGAGATTCGAGTGCGCGCGTTTTGTGGCACAATTTGCAAATCATCACGGATTCGCGAATCCAGTGCGAAAAGCTCATTTGCCCACGGAAGATATAACAAGAAAGGAGTTTTATTTGTCTTGTGCGGTAGTGTGATTTTTTTTGGATAATATCAAATGTAAGTTTGACTTTGGTTTGTGCTTTTCACCTTACAGTCAAAATAAATGTTGGATTACCTATAAGCATATTGTGAAATTGGAGAGAGGGAAAAAGCTCCTCAAGGTCTCATCTGAGAGCCACAATCCGTCTTACCGGCGACAGTAATCTCACGTTACTCTTTTCTGGCGCCACAAAGTGTTGTATAGTGATTAGTCGAGCAGAAACTCTGCATATTTTACATTGTATAGTTGTGTATATTGAGTTTTTTTGTTAAATTCGTATTCAGATGCTCGATAGTATAGTGAAAAGGCGGACTTATGTCAGGTGCCATTAATTGACTGGGGCTTTTTACTGGCGGTTTCTATTTTTTTGCCAAAATCTGCAAAATGCGCTTCAGAAAATTAGTATTTACTAGACGTGCGCGAACCTATGATCGTTGAGAGACAATTGCTTAGGCCAAAAGAACTAGTTTGCATTCAAGACTGGCGGTGGGTAATTTATGTAATTGACTACATGAGAGTGTTATATAAAATGGTGTGTAGTGGGAAGTTAGTGAGGCTTAGGGAAGAGAGAATTCAAATTGTGAGACAAGAGGAAGATGCCACAGCTATTCTTAGTTGATTTTGCATGTGATGGTTCTTTGTGCAAATTGCCCATGTCGCGAGAAGAGTGTCTGCGGGGCTCAGTTTTCGCCAATTGAAACCTATTGAATGTGTCCAACACGCAAATGGCATAAGAAATTATTAATACTATGTGTTGGCTCCTTTTTGGAATGCGCAGCAAATGATGCTGGTCATGTCCAGTTCACGGCAGTAAAATCTGTTCTTGTCCAGAGAGGCGCGAGATAAAATACTTGCAACTCCTCTCGGAGATTGTTTTATAATGCCAAGAGTTGGGTGGTAAGGAAGAAACAATAAATTGCCATTTAGTCTGACATTGCTTAGAGGAATTTGCAAAGTCTCCTGCAAAGTACACTTAAGTGCATATGCAAAAGAGGAGAAAGACACATTCATTTGTGAGGAGAGCAATTATAAATTTGTACACTGTACTTTTGCTCGAAGGCAAATATTTTTCTATCTATACATTATGTCAATTTACACGGAGAAAGGAACAAATCTCTGTCTTCCTGAAAGTCCACACCGTGAGTGTGTGTGTTCGCGAAGGTGGGAAGGCAAACATATATGCTAAAAATCATTTAGAGTGAGAGATATGAACGTAAAAAAGAGAGGTGAGAAACGATGGTGGCCAGAGAAAGTGATGCCTTCATTTAATCAGGAAATGATCAATTTCATTTTACAAAATTTCAACGCACTTTGAGGGGTTTCGTGCATATAAAAAAGAGAGATACACACTAATCCCGATTTGGCCTTTGTCGTGATATAAAATGTCGATTTTCTCCAGAGAGCAAAGATGCTTTTTGTGGTTCAACAAACTCAAGAGAGGTTAATTGCTTGTTTTTTAGTCAAAATTCGCACAAGGCCAATGTGGACCAAACAAAATATGTAAGGAACTACTCTTGAGGCTTTCCACCCTCACAGCATTGCACATGACTCAATGCGATCTGAATACAGAGAGTGTATTGAAAAAAAAGTCCCGCAATAATATTTGCATAAAAGAAGAATAAAATTATCGAATAAACATTTGACGGGGGAATTTCTTGAGTATCACAAGAACTTATCGATTTGTCATCAAAAAAAAACTAGTACAGCGGAGGAAAAATCCCACAGAAATTCATTCGTTGTGAAGGTGAAATTCGCATGAAATTTACATAACATTTTTTATACATGTACAAATATCTTCTTCGTTCATCGCTTTTGATTGAGTGGAATGAAGATGTTTCATTTACACAGTTTTTGCTTTGGATTTGATGCAATTTCTGTGGATTGCAAGGTAATTTCTCCCTCTTGAAGACACTTTTCGCTTTTTTTTATCATGTACAAAGTGAACACTTTGGCAATATATAATTTGCACACGTTTTCAGTGGTTGGAGGAATAAGTCGCAGCGGCGGGATTTGTCGTCTTCATCTTAATATCTCGGTTTTGTTTCGATCTCAAATTGTGCTCAATTATGTTTTTATTCACTTGACATCATCCTGAACACGTGAAAACGTCTTTAATAAAAATGACCTGTCTTTGTTTAATTAAAATAACACTTTTTCTTCTAATACATACTCTGTTTTATTTGCGCATAAAATAAAGATACTTTTATTCTTTGCTTGCAAATGCGAATATTTAATTTAGCTACACCTGGGCAAATATGATATAAATTGTCAAATATTACTGCTGGATCTTAATGTGTTCTGACAAGAACTAGAATTAATCTAAAACCTTCCAGTAAATTTCATGTGGAACACAGGTGTTATAATATAAGTCATTTTCATTTACACGACCTTTTGACAAACTACGCAGTTTGTTAAATTTTCAGATCTATAATGGATATAAGAAATTTTTAATTTCAATTGATTGATTTAAGTGAAATCTGCGCCGCTGAAGCTCTTGCCTTTTATTCATATATTATCTAATATATACTGCGATATTTTAATTTAACAACACACTCGAGAGAGTGTTGAAAGAGTCTTTTTTCTCGCCTTGACATAAAACACTTTTTATCCAGGTTGTATGCGTGTGTTTGATTTAATAATTCGCATTTACCAACAGTGAACAGGAATTACACTCTATGGTACAAATATTAGTTCAAGTGGTGAATATTTAGAGCAATTTGTCACATATAAATATTAATTTCTTTTATCTACAATTTGCACTGTTGCTGCATGATTTAATTGGCAATATGCAGGGAGACTTATTGTGTGTGTCGCTCGTGTAATTAATTGGAAGTCAATGCATCGTCTTTTTATATGTGAATCACGACAGAAATAGGTATGAATTTGTGGGATTACTTTATGGGTGTCTCTTTTGTCGGCATTGTGAGTGCAATTAAGAGAAAATTGACGACTTGTCGACACAGTGGTGTATTTTAATAGCCATGTACAGCGAGAGTGAGAGAGAGTGAGTTCAGAGAATTCAGGCGCTATTTGTGGATTTATTCGCCAGACGATAAGCGCGTGTGATGCAATTTTCCGGGGGCATTTTTCCATGAAAGATTGTGGGTGACATTCGCCGGGTCAGAATGATTATCATGCTTTGTAGTGGTGTTAGCGAAAATTTGTGGATTTGGAGACTCGGGTGTGAGATTAGGAGTATTTCTCGCGTGATTTACTCTTCCACATCATGATGGGAGTTGGGAACAGATGTTTAGTGTTGGGAAAGTGGTATAAATTGGACTAATCATGTGAGAAAATGCGCGGTCGTTTTGCTAAATTTCCGACTGTAAAATTTTCCATGCGAATCCAGACACAAGAGAATTGGAAATGGTCTGGAAAACTGGCTGTGTTGAGGTGCGGGTTGAAGCGAAAACGCCTCTTTGGGTGGTTGATGAGCGCAAATCAATATCCGAGTGGAAAATTCCACGGTAAGGTTTTGGCATTTCGAAGTGCGATGGTGACGAGCATCCTTTTCACCCTTGTCCTTGGGGTGGAAAACAAGATTAATAGACTTTCACAACAATTTTGTGGGTGAGCAAAGGACAAAGGGAGGCGGCAATGGAATATGTTAAAATTGTGTTGGGTAATAATATTGAATTCCGGGTGTTTAGCATGCTGTAATGTTCTATCACGAGACGAGGAATTTATTTAATGAATTGTGGGCGTTCATTCATGTGCCCACAACAGTCAATTATATTCTCGTGAAATCTCCGTCATGTTGGAGTGAAAAGCGAACTCCTCCACTTTGTCAGCATCAATGGTTTTGCACACGATATTCAATTTCCTCGTAATATTTTGCTATAACTTTCTGTTTTTTTCGCAGCCTTGAAAGACAAGACGGTCGCTTTTATCGTTGCCAGAGATTCTGTGGGATTTTCCATTGCAAGGATAGAGATAGGGATGTTGTCTGAGTGTGACAATTGCGGAAGTCTCCAATGACTCCTCACATTAGGTTTATTAACAATCAATTTTGGGGACTTCCTGCAGTATTTTTCTGAGCATTTTCACGTGAATTTCACACTCAATCGCACCGAGCGCGTTAATCAATCTAATCAACCCAAATAAATAGGCGAAAATGAGTGACAAGTCGCGAATTCATGGAATGTTAGGAGTCACACTGTCAAGAGAGTCTCTTTATCAGTACGCAAAAGTTGCTCTAGAAATGCTCAAGTTCATTCACAATGTTTCCATGTGAATGCAGCGTGATAACGTTCCACCACGCAATTTTCATGGAGTTAAACTATTACCGCCAATCCATGGAGAGATAATTGATGAATTAAAAGTTCATTGGAAATGCCTTCCAGGCTGTAATTAAATTGTTGGCTAGTTGGGCGTTTTTTTTTTTGTTATCAGAGGAAGTCTCAATATATTTGTGGGTCAAGAAGTTTCATGTTTTTCTCTCTCTCTTTTCAGTGCCTTCAACAATGTCCGTTGCGAGTGTTCAAGCACCTCATTTGGCCGAATTGTGCTCGTCTCTCGGGTGAGTGTCTGTCTAGTCTTCTAGTGAGAGCAAAATTCAGAATGATTCACCTGAAATGATGAATGCTAATTGCATGCTCATTTGTTATTCTAGTCGCTCGAGCTTGAGTGTCTCATCGTCACTGTCTGATTTGGTTGGGAGTCCGTTTGAGATTTCGGCGGACAATGTCCTGACCATTGAGGATCTGCGCGTGCAGATGGGCTCGTGCTTCACGTGTGGAGTTTCCTGGGCGGAGGATCACGTTTCGCTGGACTGCAGCGAGTGCGGTGGCTACGGCCTGGAGCGGCCCTGCCCGCTCTGCGATGGCAGCTGTGGCAGCACCTGGAAGAGGGATTTCACAATGGTGAGTGTTGCGAACAGCCACAAATCCACCGTCAAGCCGATGGAGGGGGAGAATTGTGAAGACTGAATTGTTTCTCTTCTGCAGTCCCATGCTTCCGGAAAGGCGAGGTGGCAGGGATCGTGCCCGGCGCATCCGATCAACCTTCCGCCTGCCATGGTGCTGCCCACGATCGTCACACCCGCCACAGTTCCACCCACTTGTGGGGCCACGCGGAATCAGTTCCTGGCCCAGGAGCTCTGCGCTCGGCTCGAGAAGCTCTCCACGCAGACGTGATCAGCTCCGTCAAGGCGAAAGTGCCTGAAAGGCCGACATGAGAAAGAGAGCATTATTCGGGCTCACGTTGCAGTTGAGCCTGGGATCCTTCAGAAGTACTTTAATGTTTTATTTTTCCTTTTTCATTTGATATAATGGAAATGTTTGTAAGTAAATTATATATATATATTTGTAGTAATTCTCTGGAAGAAATCTTGTACACAACAAACTTTATTGTCAAGGGCGAAATTTTGACGGCAATGTGGCACTTTTTTGTGCTGCAGCTTGTCGATTTTCGGCGGGGATGAAAATCTTATGCTATATAAAAAAAAAAAACATGAAACCCTTTTTGTAAAAATTTGTGAATATATAGAGGAAAAATATTGCAAAAATTCAATAAGACTGTGGCGCCAAAATGCTCAATTCTGGACATTAGTTTAATTTTTAAGGGTGGTGAAAAAAAGGGGAGAAATATTTGAGTTTGTGCATTTTATTGAGTGTCATTTGATATTTTGCCAAGATTGTAGCGCTACAGTTATCAAAATTCCATGTGAAACCAATCAAAATGCTCACTATTTGGCAAGTGAAAGCAATATGTTAAATAGACCGTCAAATGAAGCCTATAAATTTTCAACAAATGGAATTTTTTTTTTCTTTGCGAAATAGCAACTAAAAGAATTGTATTGGCATTTATTTGGACAGATAACGTTTATAAAAGTGTTTAACTACAAGCTTTTAGCGGGATTTTGTGAGGCGGAAAAGGCATTTGAAGAGAATTTGTGGGCATATTTCGATAGTCTGAACTCTTTTTTTGTTTTTCAAAATTCAGCCATGCTACAAAGTAAGAAAAATCCCATCAAGAGTGGTTGATAAAACCCTGAAGAGCAGCAAGAGCATTCTAATAAGTTAATTAAATATTAAGAAAGCCCCATTATATTAAAATTTAAGAATGTGTGATATTCCGGAAACAATTTATATACTGTATAACTTGTAATTATAAATTGAAAAAAATGGAAACCTATAAAAGAGATAAAATATTTACACGATATAATATATTGTCAAAATTGCAGGAAAGGAGGATTTGTATTGGAAGTGTTGTTTCTTTTAACAGAGAAATATTCTTCTGGTGAGGATTTTCTGTGAAAATTTCCAGTGATTTTTTTTCTTTAGTCTGCATTAATTAAAACTATCGCACATTTTTTGGAAGGATTTCTTCACAATCTTATTTTTCAAGTGACAAAATATGTTTTCTTCTTCCTCACAGAAAATAATTATGTGTTCCTGACAGAGTAAATTGCAATAGCGAAGAAGAAGGAAATGTTGAGTTTTGGAAATAAGATTGACTAGAGAGATGATTTTTAAAGACAACAACTCACTACCATTAAACGATAATTTGTAATTTATGTTAACGAAAGCATTATTTCTAAGTTGAAGATGACTTTATAAGCACAAATCACTTGACATTCAGAGAGTCTCACATTTTTCATCAAGCGAATTTTTCTTTGATTTTTTTCTTCCCAACCTTTTGCTATAAAATATAACATTTCAGACATTGAAGCGCAAAAAAGACCAAAGATGAGCAATATAAAATTTTCATTGTGATGTCTCTGAATTTGGTGATGGGCTTAATAGAGAATTTTACCTTACTAGAAAATGTCTTTTTTTTTCGTCATTATGCAGAATAATTATCTTCAACACTAAATTATTATTTATTAGCTGCAAAGCAAGAGGAAAATAGAAAAAATAGATGAGCAAATAAAAAAAACAGATTTTTCTTTTGTTCTTTTAGAATTGGAAAGAATTTCTTATGCAAAAATACCACTTATACCTATAAGCTACTCTTTTTATATTGTCAAACGCTATGATTTCATTTATTAATAAATATTTCTTTTCCATTTTATTTACGAATTGTCTTTTACTCCTTTCTGGCGAATCAGCAAAACTGACAATCTGCTAATTTCTCGATGTATTGTGTATTTTCGAAGCAAATTGAAGGAATCGTTGAACAAAAATTACTGAAGAAAATCACTTGTCTGATTTCTTTTCTAAGTGCAGCTTTCCGCTTTGTGGAATTTTCTGAGAGTGTCAGGAAGTATTTTTGTCGATCATGAATCAAGATAATCACGTGAATCCAGATCTACAAACTGTCGAAAGGCAAAATTATATGTATGATACTGAAGTGAATGCGAAGAAGACACCAGGAAGAGAGAAAGAAATCGCTTGTGATCCAGAAGGTGAAGAAGGCAAGAATAACTTTTGGAAAACAATAGAAGAGAAGAATTTATTCACATCTCTGGATCGGATGATTGGAGACATCATTGGTGGAATCAGTGAAATGCAATTGAAAACTGAATCGCCACCGTCGACTGGGAAGACGGGAAAGACTGTGAAACTGAATCGGGGTTATGAAAATCTGATGGAAGCAAGAAAGTGTGTGGATTCTCAGCTAGAGAATATGTTGCACATTCCTTGGGTACATTCGGATCAGCCCAGAATTTTTGAGACTACTTCAAATACGTCCAGGAGTCAGAAGAGCCAGAAATGCTGCTCGCGGACATTCAGATGCGAGAGCAAAGACTATGAGAATTTGAAGAATTGCAGAGACACTGTGGCCAAACTCTTGAACCGAGAACTTGATACCATTGCCAGAGAAAGAACTGCACAACACTCTGGTGGCTCAGGATGTGGAGATGGATACTTTAAAACTCTGTACTCCCGGAATGTCTCACCTGAACCCATGGAAAGTGTCTCTTCGGATACCATCAAAATGCATCGCAAATACATTATTGACAACATTTTTGCACTCTGTCAGCAACTCAATGAGCTGGAAAATCTGTATAAAATGTAAAAATACCGCAAATCAATGGAAAATTATATTTTACAAAATGTTAAACTCATTTGAATCTGCGCGCTCTTCGGGGAAACATCGCAAACATCGCCAGATGACATAGCGGAGTGGGACGGATTTGGGACACTGTCATTTGGAGTGTTTTGCGAAAAAAGTATTCCAAAATGGATAAAAAGCGCGTAAAGACCAAAAGGCGCAAAGATGTAAGTAATTCTGGGGTGGCGGGCTGTTCTTGGGCATGTCTTGAGTGCAATGAAGTTTGCCCGGAAAAGGGGCGATGTTGTTCTGGCAAGATGTGACCTTTGTTCACCGCGACTGTCTTGGAATGTGGCGCCCAGTTTTCAGGGCTTTTCCTTTGCTGGACAGGAGAGTTCAAACCCAAATCCACTTACTGATGGATTAAGGTAGAAATTTGGGTGGAAAGCCAGGCAGAGGGATGGATAAAATGACTAAAATATGCCGAGAATCACGCGCTGGAAGCTTCCAATGTCACTTGCAGACGTGGAATGTTTTCTTCCGTAACGGGAGTTTGGTTTTCTGGGTCTTATTAGCATGGAAATGGCCAGTGTTCCACTTCTGCCTGATCATATGTTTCATGCTTCTTGCATCAGTCTTGTGACGCATTTGTCTGTGAAAACAGTCTTATTGTTGCCCTTTTTCTCTCTCTGTTTCCGGACACAATCTGGCGCTGTACGAACAGGAGTACACGGGTCCGGGTGGTGTGGAGGAGGTCGTGGAGAAGCCGCCGAATGAGGAGTACTCGCTGGCCAAGTGGCTGAGACGGAATGTGCCCACGAAGAAGACCAAGTGTCTGAACCACAATGTTGAGTACTTCACAGCCTCCAAGGCCCTGGACGCCCTCATGGAGTCCAAGTTCGCCAAGGGCAGCAGCCCTCTGCTGCCTAGCCGCGAGGCCGCCATCGAAATCCTGGACAGCATGCTGGTGCACAAGTTCTTTCACCGTGCCAAGAAACTGCCCGTCACCGATGAGGAGCTGCGCGGCCGCAAGAAAGGCGACGAGAAGGCCAAGAAACCCGTTGAGGTGGAGAAAAAGGAGGTGGAGAAGGGCACAGACGCTGAGAGCAGCCACGTAGAGGGTGGCAAGCCGGAACGTGTGGACAAGGAGAAGAAGAAGCGCAAGATCCGACTGGACATGCATCCGGAGCAAGTGTTTGTTGACGGTTCCGAGGCATATGTGTGGATCTACGATCCCATTCCGCTCCACTATTGGCTCTTTGGCGCCCTCCTCGTGGTCTTTGTAATCGTGATGTGTCTCTTCCCGCTCTGGCCCACTCCGCTCCGTCTCGGCGTGTACTATCTGAGTATTGCCGCGGCAGGATTCCTTGTCTTCATCCTGGGATTGGCGGTGGTGCGCTTCATCGTATTCTGCGTCGTGTGGCTGGCCACGGGATCCAAGCATCACTTCTGGCTTTTCCCCAACCTGACGGAAGACGTGGGATTCCTCGCCTCCTTCTGGCCACTCTACAAGGTAAGCGTGTCATTTATATCCTCTGATATATTTGCCAATTGTAACAGTCAATGCTCTCAAGTTAAGCGTTGATCACGAACTGTGCCAAACAAATCACGAAAAATTCTTGCATGCCATTAAAAAATCACTATTGAATATATTTCCTGACTTCTGGTCACGAGTGAAGAATGGATCTGTTAAAGTAAATTTGCGGAACTCGTTAACTATTTTGACCCTTTTAAGGAAACAATTAACCAAAAGTTTAAAATGCAGATATCAAAACGATTGATTTCTATGTAACATAATTTTTATGTATGGTTTTTTGTGGTCTCCTTGCAGCATGAGTACAAAGGTGTTGAGGACAAGTGTAAAAAGTGCAAGAAGCAACATAAGGAGAAAGACAGCGACGACGAGGACGAGACTTGTCCGTTGGCGAAAAAGAAGAAGGCATCGAAGGAGAAGGAGGACGCAGACGACACTCCATCCCAGGCCGCAGAGGCGACAAAGGAAGTGGAGGCGAAGGACGCCGCCGACCACAGAGACGAGGAGGCCGAGAAGAGGAAAAGGTGAGTGTGAGAGCTGGCATTTGAAAGATGATGTGACATGACGAGAGCAACTCTTTCAGCTCTTTGACTCCGTCTGAGAGTGAATCCGAAAGCTCTCAGAGATCCTCGACTGGGAAGGACTTTGAAATTGTTGACTCGACCGACCTGTCACCAGAGTAGATTGAGTGTGTTGGGGATGGTAAGAGAATATTATTTAGCACAAGCATTTCCAATATTAGCTATTATATTATACAATATATTATATTAGAGAAAAGTTCAAGGATGAAGAAAAAAGAGAAAACCGTGGTGTGATTATTACAATATTCTGCAGAAATTTATCGGGAAACACTTTTTTTCTTATCAGAATGAGAACAAATCTATAAAAATGTTAATTAGGTGAATTTATATTTCTCCTTTTTTTAAATTGTGAAACACAGAACTGACAAAGTTAAATTGCAAGCATGGAAAAGAGAAACTGATAAAGTAATCTGATAAAAATGTTGGCAGCAAAATATTTCAATAGAAAATATTTGTGAGAATGCTAAGGCTTGATATATGAGCTTCTATCTCGATGTGGGGACGCGTTGCAATCACACTGAAGAATTTACAACTTTACGACTTTTTCCTGTGAATTTTTTTTTAATATATTTTTCGTGAGGCTGACGAGAGCACAACAAACAATAAAATAGAAGAAAAAAAATTCCATCAAAGTCGTGCGAAACATTAAAAAATTTTAATTGCCAGTGAGCTTCGCCACACGAGAGAATGTTGCGAAAGGAGTCCTTGTGGCATCTCTTCATTTTATTATAATATCCCCAAGAGAATGTACATAGAAAATAGATGTGTTTATATATTTTATTCTGTGAAATCTGGCTAAAGATATGCTGTGTCTTCTCGGTGGCAGCATTCAGTGCATTGAGGAGAAATATATTTGAGTGTGCTAAGAAAGGAGACACCTTTGAACAGTACAGTGCAATCTAATCGGCATAACATTGGTAGAATTTCCATTGTGCTTTTCTTTTAACTAATTGGATGTGTAAATTTGTGACTAAAAACAAAATATCAGCCATAAAATTATTGGATAAGGGAATTAATCGTGAAGAGAATCTCAGAAAAAAGGAGAATATGAAAAATGAGAGATTATCGTGTAAAAGTGTTAGAAATTTACTAGTTTTGACGGGGAGGTGCTTTTAAAATACATATTTTAGTGTAGATAAAGTACAATCGTGTTTCCATGTTTAAAGTTAAACATTGGCTTCAATTTTGGCATCAAGATGAAAATCTAAGATCTTAGGTTCTGAAATGATGCATACAATGATGAACAAACTTCCAACAAATCTTGAAATCTTGATATTGGCAAAGTGTGTTTTAAAACTTTTAAAAGGTACATAATTTTTTATTTATCTTGGTGTCATAATTGAGCTTCTTCGTGTAAAGAGAAAGGAAAAAAAAACATTTAAAGCAAATTAGATTCTGTCGCAATTTTGTTGCACTGTACTGTATTTTGTGAGGAACTGAAAGGCAAATTTTGTATAATCTTATATTTATTTATTTTTCCCAAATAATAAAATGCAAGAAATATTAGATAGTTTTGTAAGGAGACAGAAAAGAGAAGAAGAAAAACTATGAAAAACCAGCATTGAGCAACAGTGTTAGAAAAATTGCGGATTTATGTTTTTGCCTTTCGAAATAACTTTTTGGCGTATATAGTGATTATCAGTTTTCCTTACTTGTTTCCTAGCGAATAAATATTTTAGCGAGTAGAGAACAATAAAAGAATGATTAATAAAACATTGTCATGCATGACATGTTGTTCTTATGTTCACAAGATGACCCACTGAATTGATTGCCACCCTTTCGCACTCACCCTCGCTCAGCAAGCACAGACTCTCCTCTTGTTCAGTGGAAATGCACATTTTCTAAACAAGAGGAAGAACTGGGTTAATTGTTTTACAGAGTGAGAAAGAATCGAGCTTGGATGGCATAAATGCCATGGTATTTTCATATCGGAATATCAAATAAGGAAGAAATTTTCTCCATTGCTAGAGAATGAGACGCGCAAACATTATAGTGCTTCGCTTTCAGTTCCAATTAAAGTGAGAGATGCAGTTTACGAGTGAAATTACCAGGAAATTCTTGAGGTGTTCAATTGCACGTGAAAATTACGCACTTGAAGTGGTACGAGGTTCTTTGACGCACTGCCAAGAGCAAGTTGCTGATTCACAGCGGCTCATCATGTAAAGGATTTTACACCCTCCCTCAGCGCCCTAAACGATCAGAAGCAATCAATGTTATCTAGTAATTCTATCACAAATTCTCTCTTCACTATGAGGCAAAATACACTGTCGATGGGAAGAAATTTCTACAGCATTGTGAATATTTATTAAAGCAACATTGCGAGGCGGTAAAAGGTATGTGTAAAGACGTGAAACAATCCCTCAGTTTTTCCTGCGAAAGACAATTTACATGTGGGTGGCAGAAGTAAAGCAAGAGTGGGTGGCGCTGTGGTGATTTCGGTAAATATTGCTGTGGAATTGTTTACACCATGGACGGAATTTTATTGCACATGAAGGTCGACACGTGGAATTTCCACCAATTTGGGCCCTTTCTCGCGCAATTTCCCACAAATTTCTTCGCTCTGGCAAAGTGCGTCAACTTCTTTGCTAAATAAACATTATGAAGCGTCTTGGAGGAAGAGAGGACTGTGAGTGACGCATCAGGCAATGCGTCTTGTTTACCGATGAACCATGCGAGAAACCCTCGACTTTTCTCCCCATTATGTACCTGTCACAACGCATTTCACCCCTTCTCGGTGCGCTTCTCTCCATCCACGGTCGGATGGTCAGGACGAGGAGCATCTGAAATTGAGCTATTGCTAGACGCAGACACGCAAATGTTATCACAATGGTTGCATCGCAGCTATGTGTTTCCTATTTATACACAATATTCCACGGACTACAGGGACTCCCCTTATCGTTATAATTAGGCTTTATGGCATTCCCGACTGCCAAATCTCCCTGGAACAGAGAAATGGGATTTTTTTTCATTCACTCGCATGTGGCCATCCCGGACAGAGTTGAAGTGAATACAGATGCAAGATTAACGGCAAAGTGCGTTGAAAGTATGAGCGGTTGTTGCTCAAATGCTAGAATATCATTTAATCCCAACAATATCTAGAAATATGGTTTAATAATCTTTTCAACGCTGTTCTAAAGTCAATTGGACAGAGAGGACACAAGCAGAGTGACGAGTGTGCGTGAAAACGACCTAATTATGGAAACGTGTGGCGTGTCAGAGTTTTCGGGATAAAAGTCCCGTCCTTATTTTGATGGCAGATCAACATGCGTCCCGAAATTTTCACATCCTCTAAACAAAGAAGACAGCATAGGAAATATACAACAAAGGACTGAGGAAGATTGAAAAATGGGAAATCAGTGCAAAATCTCAGACGAGGAACACTCTTATGGCTCAGTTTCTTCACCTTCAAACCCTTGGATGGCCTTTCAACTCTCCTACATCAATTTTCATCCCTCTTCTCTATATTATTGCTGTCGGTTCCCTTCCCTCGCGTTGCCCTCTTTCGGGGAGCGGCTCGTGCATGTTTGACGGTGTCGCCGGTGGCTTTTTGACCAGCCGGTGTCAACGACTAGGTGAGACCACGGGCATCATCCCCTAATGTCCAGCTATTAACAGCTGATGGTGCGACACCCCCAGAACTGTACGGAAGAATTAATGGCACAATAGGACCCTTTTTTCGCGCTCAGCACGAACTCGGCCAGACAACAAAAAGCCGGCTCATTGAGCTGAAGAGAAGAAATCCAATGTCTGGCGGAATTGAGGAAGTCATCGAGAATCTCACCCCCGCAGCGGGTCGGCCTCTTGCGGGGTCACCGAAGGTCAATCCCATGTTTGGCCACGCACTCCTCTCTGCATTTTTCATGCTGATTTGCTGCCCTAACCGTTGAAAGACGGGCCCGGAAGAGGTGGTCGTGAAGACATTTTATGGGTGAAAATTCTAACGCGTTCACTCCCCTAAATTGTGTGATTTTCCTGTCTCTCTGAATTAAATTCCATGCACAGCGATATTCACGCCAAAATATACGCGCGCTAAGAAGCCATGAAAATTCCATTCGGCAAGTGTTTTACTACCATTTTAACCCAGAAAGCTTCTCTTCCTCATCTCCTGCCAATTCTTCGGCCGAGTGTTCAATTTTTTTTCTCTCCTCTTTGTCCAATTGACACAGCAATTCATTTGTCGAAGCACTCAAAAAGAGGGCTTGGCTATTACTCTTCGTCTCACCTTTTTCTCTGCTTAATTAAAACCGCTGAATTTCCCGAGCTTTTCCTTCTTCCTGTTCTGCTGCACAGACATTTTTCATGTTCTACGGCGAAACGGATGGAAAACGATAAAAATTGAATTTTCCAACTCTCTGTACTCTTAAAAAAAACGGTGAGGAAGGGGAAGTGCAATGCAAATGAATAAGAGGTTTAATAATAACGTTCGGAGAAGGTTTTCTCTATGTCCCGCGGGAAAAATGTGAAATTATAAATCACATTGTAAAGTCATATGAAACATCATAAATTTCGCTAATGGAAATAAGTCAAATAATGAGACCGAGACTTGTTTCTAATATTTAATAACTCGATTGAGATTCTGCCTCAAAATTTCAGAAGAGAAGCTCTCGAAATTTGTATTTTCAGGAAATTGTTTTATTTATTCATGACAAAAAAATCCTCGCGAAATAATATTACTCCGCTTCATCTCGTTAAGCAATTTTAATTGTTGCATAATTGGGTAAATTTCTCACTGTTCTGTAGGAAAAATTGCGTAAAAAGTTGGTGCAGATTATCATAGAAATGAGCATGAATTCCATCACACAATCTAAAGAGGCATTTCAACCCCAGCATTTGGTGGTCATAAAATGGTGATGAAATATTTAATAAACTCTGAAATCTCACATATATATTTTCGTCAAAATTGCTATGAAGAAACGTTGATATTAATCATTTGTGTCAATGATAAGAATAATTCATTTTCAGGGAAAAAAGGCAAAGTGAATGATGACTATTTCTGTGATTGGCACATTTTTGGCAGACACTGACCAGAGCGGAGGTGAGGAGGGTGAATTTTAATGTATCAATTCTTGGGGAGAAAGTCTGATGGCGCGGTGTCGAAAATCCACCCTCTTCGGCGGAAAAAGAGCAAAGTACGGACGCTTAACGCTGTGCGGCGGAACAAAGCGGAGTCAGTTGAAGCTCGGTGGTCGTTGGAAGCGGACAGAAAGGAGCAAAGTTCTCCACATAAAGTGCGTTTCACTACAATTTCCCTCACAGGAGGGATTCCTCTTCTCAGAATTATTACTGCAGAAAGGACAACAGAGAGTGCCACATTAAATCACTGCGTGGAAAGTGAACGAAAGAAGACTGTGAATTGAGTGGCAATTGTTCGCTCTCTAGGCCGGTGATTGTCGGCGAAAAGGCGCCCAAGAGCGGGGGAGATATATAATTTTGTGGACGCAAGAAAAGGTGTTTGATTTGCACGTTAATTGAGGCATCGGGTGAGGGTGAGAAGAAGCCAAAAAAAATCAATTATGACGCATTTTCGAGTCCACCCAGCGAAATTCATCCTCTTGATGGTGTTTTTATCAGCGTCATGGGCTTCAGGTAATAATAGTGGCGGAGGAAAGGTCGCGATAACGCGACCACCCTGCCTTCATTACTTTTAACACCTCCAGGGACTGGGGGAGACGCCGATAAATCGATTATGCCCGCCCCGTGAAATTCGCACAGTGGACCGTGGCGGTAGACATTGCCCCGAAAATTAGCGATAAAGCTTAGATGGGAAAAGTGCCAATGATATTCCATCGCACTCATTGTTATATTATGCGTGGGCCATCATGAAGGGCAGATTAGGCGCACTTCTCGTGTGAGACGACACATTATCAGCAACAGTTTATCATTTGTTTGTAATTAAAATATATCTCAACATAAACAAGAGGATTCTCTTGCACGAAGAGAGCAACGCCGAGAGTGTAAATACTGGTGACACTCTCACAATCTTTTGGAGATGCCATGGGAAAGAGCGTCAGGGTGTTCGTCATTCATCCAGCCACAGTAATTGAAAATGTTTGGGAAGAGTCCACAAGTGCTCATCAAAATATGTATAAAAGAAATTCCTCAGTGGAAATTTGTTAGGGAAGAGGATCTATTCAGAAAATTCATAGAAATTCTGACTTTTACGTACGAAAATGTGACAAAATAACGAACCTTGTTGCTATAATATTACAGTTAGCGCCAGAAGTTTTTATTAAAACTTTCAATAACGTCGTAATAGCCGAATAACTTAGAAAATTACTATGTTAGCTGAGCTACTTATAGCAGTGCAGTAGCATTTATCACTAACTAATAATAATATTCTTATTTGAAGATCGTTCTGATCAGAGCCAAGTATTCATCAGACATACATATATAGGCCCATATAAATCATCTTCTAATTTATAGCACAACTTGCTATAAAGTTCTTGCGGAACTGCTATAAGCTTTAAGAGGATTGCATTACAGATTCCATAAATAGTGTGTGTCACACTCAATGTCTGGGCAAATTTGCATTTGATAGCGTTTCATGAATGAGAGTCTGGACTGGACCACAAATGATGGTGTGCGCTTTTCTACCATGGCGCGGTGGTGACTCATTTCAACCCCTCGCGTTTTTCCCTCCACTTTGCTCTCCACGGTGAAATCAGCATCCAACTCACCAATTATTACTCAACAGTGAATCACAAGAAAAGTCTACTGTTTTTGTCATGAAAAGTCATGAAGAGCTAAAGCTGTTGAGCGTCATTGTGCTTATATTTTAAGCCATGTCGCAAAAATTCATTTTACATTCCAACAATCAATTTATAATTATTGTCGACAACAATGAGCAACTTGTCACACCAGCCCTCTGGCATTTCTCTATGCGATGCAATTGAGTGCAGAGGACGTGGAGGATGATGAAATTCAATTATCTCGTGAGGGATGATTTATGCTTGCTCCACATTTATTTCACGTCTGGAGCCCTTGTTGTCGCGAAGTTTTTCCCTCCAGTGCCTGCACTTGTATTTAAATTCAAGTGCTTATGGTTCTTCATATTCACCTCAATGTATTTTCCAAGCTGGGGTAAATTATGGACATGTTTTCAATGGAAATTGCAAGAATATTGCGAGAAAATGAGGCGCAAACTATCAAATAACAGTTCTTCGAACAGAACCATTTAATCAATGCGTGTCATAATTACGCAACGACAGGGAGAAAACAAAGAGAAATTAATCTTTGGCCAGTTATTAAGAAGTGGACAAACCCCTTCGTGGCCAACCACTCTTCACGTGGCGGAATTTTTCCACAGAAAACGCAAGTGTGGGTGAGAGTGAAATTAATATAAATCCTTTTTTCTTGAGCTACCCATTTTTTTTCTCTGGTAATTACACACTCTCAACGGATTTTAGGTGTTGCTAGTGCGAGTGGGTGGTTGAAAAAAGCGCGCCAAGTCACACGAGAGTCTTTTCGGGTGGTAAAAATGGTTGTTTGTATGGTTGATGAGAGACTTCTATATGCGAGACGTTTGTGAAAAACAAGAGGCTCTAGTTTGTTCCTCGGCACAGGCATGATGAATTGCGGGTGGGAATAATTTAGTCGTATTTTCCATTGCCATCGTCTCCAGAGGTTTGAGGACGAGCGAAACAGAGTGCTAAAAGTGCTCTGCCACTTTATTCTATCGATTTACACATAAAAGTCGCGAGCGACGCATTTTTGAACTTCCTGAGGGCGGAGTGAAGAAGGGGTGATGACGCTAAATCGTATTTTTAATAGTCAAACGTCGTATTATTCATTCCAGTGCTCCCTTCCCGCCAATTTGCCACTTAGTTTTCGCTGTAATTTACTTGGAAATGCCCTTGAACTCCCACTAATCGCCAGCGACAATTTCAAACGATTTATGAATGAACGCATTTTCACTCCCCCTCTAATGAACTTTACCAACAGCGCAGACTTTTTGGTGGAATGGCAAAAACCTGCTTGTGAAATTTATCGAGCAAAATCTGTTCCATTTGAGATAATTGAGTCACATTTTATATCCTTCTCGCTTGTTGTCTCATGTCTGGAGTGTGCCGCAAGATATGAAATCAGATGGAAAAGCCCGGGTTTCCCTTCTTTTGTGTATGCTCCAAAAGACGCCTTTTCATCATTGTCTGCCCAGCACGCAAAAAAGAGGCGAAGATGTGCAAAAATCACCAGTGAGATTTTTCAAGTTTTTTCAATGAGGAAACAATTGGCTCAAAGCCAGAACTTTGCCATTGACGATGAACTGAAAAGGCGTGATATTGAAGTCCTCAGGAAGAGAGCTTGTGTACTGGAAACCTTGAGAAATTCGACTATCTTCCATTGCTTTGTCCTGCGAAGAAGAATAGCCTGAATTATGAGATGATTATCGAAAGACACTTCTGGTTATTGACTTTGTTCTCCATTGGAAAAGTCATCCTTCTGGTTTCACATATTCAGTTGCATTTCTTAGTTTAACAATATCAGGATATACCAGGACGTATATATCTGCACGAATTTGAGATTAAAACATTTCAGGATTAAGCGAAAATTTATATAGCTAATTGAACCAGATATTTATTGAATTTAGTAATAATATAATGCATGTTAGAGCAAAGTGGAAACTATTATCAATACCAATATTTGGTGAGTCTCTCCAGTTCGATATTTAATTACGATTTTAATTAAAAGCAACGATAAGACCGCATTGGGAAATGAGTTTGCGTATCAATGCAATTGATGCTGGCTCAATGCAGGTCGAGGGCACTTTGTGGAAACTCCACTCCTGACTCAAATGGAAACCCTTCAGTTTTCTGCGTGATTGGCAGAGATTGATAAGGAAAAACAAGCTTTTTGCGACACCACTGATGAGTGACATGTGAAAAGGGCGGACTGGCAAAGTGTCTTCATTTCCGTCCGTCGCGCTTTTCTTATATGCTCAATTCCTTCAGCAACAGACACCAATTTAATTCACCCAAGATAATTTAATATAGTACCGTGTGCACTCCTTTATTGGGCGATAAAAATAGGTCATTGAGTTCGTATTTCCAGATGTAGAGGGAAGTGGTGGTAATTTGCACGATCTTGCTCTTTCAAATTAACTTTTCTGCGGCGTTCTGTGCGCGCAGGGAATATAGTTTTATGATCATTCACGATTTTATTGACGAGTATAAAGTTATCTGTGATTGATTCCCGCAGGAACGTGGGGACGCACTCCTCTGCGCGACGTGGAAATGACTGTGCCAATTGGCGAGGAGATGATGGAGCTCATCAAACACTCTCCCCTTGTGCGTCTCCAGGCGAATGGGATGAAATATCACCTAATTGATCCGCAGAATTGGGTGACTATCGACGAGAAGACTGGCGACATTTTCCTCACGGATGGATTTCGTGGTGTTGAGCTGGGGAGAAAGTATTCCGTGAGCGTTGCCACCCGAAATGATAGCTTACCAGCGACAAAAATCAGCGTCTCACCGATGAAAATCACCTCTCTGGAGGAATTCTGTCGCAAAAATGGAGAGCTTTTCTGCTTCTGGGACTCAGTCACGTACGCAATTCCAGAAAGTACTAAAGCGAGTGGGAAAATGGAGGAAATTGGACCCTTGGCACCAGCCTTCCTCAGGAAAATCTGTCCAAATGTCTCGACGAAGTACAAATTGATCAACGGTAGTGACTTTTTGGACATCAGAGGGGGATTTTTGATGAGAATATCACCACTGGATCATGACACACTCAATCCAGGACCCACGATCTCTCCCCATGTGCAGTGTTCAGTTACCACGGCATCTCACGCACTGAGCGAAACCTTCAATCGAGTCCTGACGGTGAATATTCTGGACAGGAATGACAATCCTCCGCAACGGCAAGATGATCATCGCATCACAATCGATATTTCTGACCCGCATTTCACAAAGGTGAGTAGTGAAACACCCACACTTTCGTCTGAATTCAATTAATCTACTCCCCCATTTTTTGCCTGCCTCAAGGGGTCAGAGAAAAGCACCTCCTGACCACCAGAATCTGCCGTGCATTGAAATTCGCACCTCATGAGTATTGTAATTAAAAAGCCCACCTCATTTTTCACCCCCAAAAGCATCTCCCTCGAGGATGACCTTTCACTGGCCTCATTTCACGCGACGTCGCACGCGTAATATTTCGAGAAATTTGCAATTCTGGAATTGCCCCCAAAACACCTGGAAACACCCACACAACGCATTTAATTGATTTAATTTGCCGCCCACCTGCCTTGGGGGCTGAGGTGAGCCCACTTTCACTTTTGGCGCGAAATATTTTGCAGCGTCACGATTTAGTTGGGGCGCAAGGAAAAAATTCCGCCGCAGAAAAAGCACGGTTTAGAGAAAGGGTGACGACTGGGTGGCAAAGTTCACATTTGCCGCCCCCCTTTTGCTTTTCACCATACATAAATTTCTAATTGTATGAATATATCGTGTTTCATATGATTTCCATATTGAAAACAAACACCAAACTATAAACCTTTGACTTTCAGGTGAGGTTTTGAAAGATTCGTGAAATTTAACAAATTATTTAACAATTCTTCAAAACACTACTACAAATCAAGACTCTTTTTATGTCGTCGCATAGAAATTAATAACATGACACAAAAAGGGGAAATAATTCTGTTCAATCTTCACAATGGCTATGGAATTAAATTTTTATTGCTTATTGGTATTGGAAAGTTTCATGAAACCTGTTATCATTTGCATAGTCTAATTCCAACCCTTCTGGCGGTTGGTGAAAAAACTTTTGGGGTGTTTTTCTCTCTTGAAGACGGGTGGAGCGGCCGCTGAGCAATCACGAAGGGGGTTTCTTGACCCCAAGGGAGAGATCATTCTGTTCTCCCGTGAAATTTGAGCATGTATCGACCTCCCCGGGACGGGACGGAGATGAAATATGCCGGACACACCACTTCCGGGATTAGCTGGAGGAATACAAATTCAATTTCCCGCGGGAATGACCCTATATTCTGCGAAATGTTGTATAAACGCCCACCTCCACGTCGAGTGCCACCACAAAATACACAATAATTTAATTAGACGCTCACAATTCACATTAACTGTCCACAGTATGTAATTGCTGTCCATTTGCTATATTTGCCGACCAATTTGTCCTGAGGACTTGTATCTCGGGTGAGAAAGATGAGGTGGAAAAGATGACGAGGTACGAATGTCCGGTGACAAATAGTCAGCAATCACGCAAAGTTCAGTGCTTTGAGCGAGTCGTGCATCGAGGCATTTATCAACTTCTTTCCATTGCTCAATTTTTCACCCGTCTCGAGTGAGGAATCTCCCATGATTTTTCATCTGCTTGCAGGGTCGGCAAGTGGGGAGTCAGAACGTGATTTTTCTGGACGGCGACTCGCTTCAAGTCAATGGAAAGATGACGTACGAAATCCTCAATGATACCCTCGAAATGCTCAAACCTGACTGCAAAGGATACGAGGCCGATCACAGGGAACCTAAGACATCGGTTATCAACTGCAGTGAGTACTCAGAAATCACAGACGAATTGTTTTATTCCTACTGATGATATTTATACATAAATTATTCGCTTCTTCAACAGAGTTGATCTTTGCTCGTGACGGTATCCTGCGGAAGAGTCCTTATTGCATCATTCTGCGAGCTAGGGATGCAAGCTTGAATACGAGACCAAACTCCGCAAATTCTAGTATTTGCATCACAGCCGATCTGTCCCTAATTCATGAACTGGACGGACCTACTGCGATGGCCTTGTCCTCGGGCGCTCGCCAAGAAAACACCAGAAAGACAATGCTCCAGCAGAAACGAAACAACCGACGAAACTACATTAATGCACAAAGCGAAGCAGCAGCAAAGGCAGCTCTAGCAGAACTGGAAACCGAGACGGCTAAAGGAATAGTCTATTCCCATGATATTTACGTTTTAAGGACAGCAACCAACATGACCAGAGTTGCGCAGCCAAATAACATGATGGATCTCTTGAAAGTACCTTCAATCAAATTCAAGTGAGTTTCAACAGATTAAGTGAAAATGAATGTTACATACTAACACTTGTTATCCTCCTTTCAGAGTTACCAGTGATCCAATAGAAGCCTTCGGTATCACTCCTCTGGGCGGCATAATCTTCGTACGCAACACAACTGCTCTTCAGAGTGCCCAAGAAACCATTTATTACCTCACAATAAGCTTCCTCAAGCAGACTCAATCAATGGTGCTTCATGTTCATGATGATTATATGGGAAATGGAACTTGTCAAGTCAACGCAACGCATGTTCCTTCTTGTTCTGAGATGAGTACCAAAACCACATGTGTCAAGACATGTGGAATTGGTGTAAACGGAGGCAGTTGCCAATGGAGAAATAACGATTATCCTATTCAACTGACTTTGTACTACGCCACTTGTTCACCGAATTTCACCCACTGTCCGGATGGTATCTGTGACCCTCTAGAAGAGATTGGCCAACACGCTGAGCATTATCTCTGTCCGCAAGACTGCACGAAGCATGTTTATGGATCTGGGAAGCTTAATGAGAGCGGACTAGGCATCTATTCAGGAGTGGGAGTGTGCAGTTGTGACGATATGGGGAAGTGCTCGTGTGGAGCCCCAGCGAGTTCGTATCCGAAGAGGGAGAAGAAGCCCAAAGAAAAGTCGAAAAGCGAGACTGGAGATATATTGGCGAACATTGAAGAGGCGGGAGTGAGAAATGGAAGAGTGTACAACATTTCAACGCATTCACCTTCATGGGCATCCTTCCAATGTGGAGCTTCGTGTTTGAGTCTAGTCATTGGTGTTCCGCTGATTTTATTCACAATAGTGGTGATCTTGATCATCACCAAGTGTGGAAATGACAAGAGATGCAAGAGAAAATCCCTGCCAGAAGAGAGAATCGCATTCTCTCCCGATATCGATGGAAATAATCCTGATCTGCCTCTAGTTCCCATCTCTAGTCAGTTTGTCTTCAAGACCGATCCGGATTCAAAGTGGGAATTTCCAAGACTGCAACTAACCTTGGATGTGACTTTGGGTGAAGGGGAATTTGGCAAAGTCGTTAAGGGTTTCGCATCTGATATTGATAATCGTCCTGGCGTGACTACAGTTGCTGTGAAAATGCTCAAAACTGGAGCTCACTCGGTGGAACTCTTGGCTCTCCTTTCGGAGTTTCAACTTCTTCAAGAAGTTTCACATCCCAACGTCATTCGATTACTAGGCGCTTGCACTCAAGCCACCGATAACCCTCTGATCATAATAGAGTACGCAAAGTACGGTTCCCTTCGGAATTATCTGAGACTGAGCCGCAAGATTGAGTGTGCGGGAATTGACTTCACCAATGGCGTTGAACCGGTGACTGTTAAGGACATCTTGTCGTTTGCCTGGCAGATTTGCAAGGGAATGTCCTACCTCACGGAAATCAAGCTAGTCCATCGAGATCTCGCGGCGAGGAATGTTCTGTTAGCGGAGGGGAAGGTTTGCAAGATCTCAGACTTTGGTCTCACTAGAGATGTCTATCAGGACGATGCATATCTAAAGCGGTCTAAGGATAGAGTTCCTGTTAAGTGGATGGCACCGGAATCTCTAGCAGATCATGTGTATACGACCAGATCTGATGTGTGGGCCTTTGGTGTGTTAGCATGGGAATTGATAACTCTGGGGGCTTCACCGTATCCTGGAGTGCCACCTCAGAACCTCTATCATCTCCTGAAGCAGGGATATCGTATGGAACGACCCAAGAATTGCTCTGACGACATTTATGCCATCATCAAGTCATGCTGGGCGGATGATCCTCTGGCCAGACCGGCCTTCAAAGTCCTTGTGTCTCAGTGGGAGAGGCTCTTGGGCAACAATGCCAAGTATATTGAATTGGAACAGAATGCCATTTCGAATCCCTTGTACTGCGCCGACAATGATCGCGAGATTTCCAATGTGGAAGTGCCAGAAGATTGCCTAGATCATCTGTGGTATCCACCCAATTCCATCTTCTCAGACCCAGACAATGATTCCAATGTCGCCACAACGGGAAATAGTGGACAGACAGACACCACAAACCTCACCGAGACTCACCTGATTAAGGGCTATGACACACCTCGGCCTCTGATTGAGGCGCGGACAATTGATCAGAGGATCAAGTATGAAAATGAAGTGACAGTGCCGACAACAACCAAAGGTTATGTTAATCAACCGGAAACCTTAGCAGATAGTGAACCGACGCATCTGGATCCTAATCACTACGAAAGCCCCATTGCCAGGGGAAAGTCTTATGTGGACATGACAGCCACTCATCCCCCCAGGATCAGTGGAATTACCAATAATTTGGACAATTCAAACCTGGACAAGAAGTTGTCCAAGGATATTTCGTTTAAATTTTTCAGTCTTTTAGGGGATTCGGATGGAAACGCAACGACTATAGTTTAGGTTAGATTTGTTAGCAGGGGCGATTTTTTGATAAGCCTAAGAAGCTAAAACTCTAGATCAGGGGAAACATCTTTTATTTTCATAAACGTGCCACATTAAAGAGGTGTGTAACATCTTTCGGATATGTTTAGGATCACTCAGCTCATACTAATCTTTGCAGTGATTTTAAAATACATTTGATCCCTTTCTTTATTTCTTTTTAATACTTTTCGGCCACGTGCATCCTTGCTTTCATGGCCAATTTTCTTATTTAACAAATTGTTAAAGTCTAAACATTTGAAATTCATCTAATCATTGTTAATGACACTAGTGTCTGTTCATTGCCGGACTGAAAATGCCAATTGAACATCTGAAATACAATTGAATGCACTTTGTATGTACCAAATCTGATCAAAAATTTGTAGAACAAATGGCACTTCTCATTTTTTTGTCGAAATTCAGCATTTGTTCAAAGAGGTGTTACTCCACTCGATAATGATCTAAATTCCCCTTGTTTATTTGCTTTAAAGATACATATGTATAAGTTTGTTGAAATATGGCTGTATTTAATGTGATTTTCATTAATCAGAGACTCAAGATCTCTTCATTTTCGTCATTTTCTTTAAGAATTCTAGGGCGCGTCACTCTCAGAAGGTTCTTTTTAGCATCGGGTAGAGGGTTGTTGAGGACCAGAAGAAAGGTGTATCAAGTACTTGAATAGTGTTTAAGAAATCTACCCATAAAATGTATCTCGATGTAAATGTGCTTAAAAATACCCTCGAATTGCATGATCATGAATAAATATGATAAATTGTAATCACACTCACATGTTTCTTTCTTCTATTCCTCATTCGGAACAAGAAGATTGATATTTCCTGCTGTTGTGGTACCAATGAATTGCTCTTCATCTCCACGAATGGACAATTTGTCTCCTGTGGAAGCAACAATGCGTTCCCGGATCATCGATGTTGGTTCCCACCGTGATGATTGGCAGTTCTTACAACTGAACTTGGGCATTCGATGAACTGTGGCTGTTCTGTTCCCACAATCGCCGCACTTGAAGAATCTCTTGTCTGTATCGATGACTTTCAATGGATGACGCTCTTCCAGGCATCGCGGAGCTGCTGAAAAGGCCAGATACTTGCACTTTCTGCAGGCAACAGCCTTGCACGCCACTTTGTACGTGGAAAGCATCTTCTCCTCCAGTGCCTCCTTCTTCTCCAGAGTGTTGAAGTACTTTTGGGTCTCCTCACACTCTCGGCGATCCACAAGATCCATATGGGATGATGTAGCAGCCATGATTCGCTGGATTCTATCTCTCTTGGCCTCTTCCTCAGCTTTGGCTCGCTTGGCGCTCGGCACATCCTGGTTCATCTCCTCAAGAACTCGTTTCTTGCCACTGTCAGTGCCTCTGTACTTGATAAAATTGGGATTTGCCTTGTCTATAGGCTTCTTCTTCAGAACTTCAGCTGCTTTTGCACGCGCCACAACCGATGCCTTTGTCGAGACGTCGATTGTGAAGGAGGATTTGCTCAGAGTGGGCGTCATTTTGGAGAAAATAGCTATTGGGGGCTTTTCTGGTGCTGTTGGGGTTGTTGGAGGCGTCACAGGTTCAGAAGCCGCCTTGAGAATTGCCAATCTCTGGATATCCTTTTGCCTTTGTGCATTATTTACCTCGGCAACAGCGTCAGCACGTCTGATTTTGTCTTGACTTCGCTGACCTGGTGAATTGGCAGTTGAGGAGTTCCTTCCAAAATACTCAGATAGAGAAAGCATTCTCTGATTATCCTTAGCCACTTGCTTGGCATTCTTCTTGGCTGCAATTGCTGTGAATGACTGCCCACCGTAGAAGACTTCATTCTTTCCGAGAACCTTATTCCTGAGCTCATTCAAGCCTCTTCCGGCAGTGGCAGATTGGAGCTCAGAGCGCTTGGAAAGACTCTTGAACTCCTTTTGCATGTGGAAGACACAGTGATCACACACAGAGAGATTCACGATGGATGTGCAAGGCTCTCCATTCTTCTTTTTGCTCTTGCAAATGCCCAGATCCTTTGATTGGCCCAGTAACATCAACTTCTCAGGCGTCGCTATGGATAGATTAGCCTCTGTCTTGTCATTCCGTCGCTCCAGGATATTTGGATTGAGGACAGCCACCACCATTCCTTGCGGAGTCTTCCAGAGATCCCTGTGAGCCGCCTTGAAGAGGAACAAACTGCAAGTCTTAATATCGTTCTTGAGATCAGACAACGTCCATATAGAGTATTGATCCCCCTTTTGAGATGTCCTGACCGGACTCTTGTTCACGATGGCACCTCCAAAGACCCAATCCCTTGTTTTGTCCAGACGATCCACGAAAGTCTTTATCCTGAACATCGAAACGGCTTCTTTATCCTTCATGCGCTCCTGCAAAAGCGTGCTAGAGATTAGAGGCTTCACCAGGCTCATCCCAAATATAGGATCTGTGTAAACAGACAAGGTTTTCTTTGACTCCATCTCTTCCTTGATCTTTTGGAGTTTGGGAACTCCTGGCAAAGGTTTCTCTGTCTCCGGGACCCTGGACACTCTTCCCAGAGCAGGAAGCTGAGGTGTGATTTTCAATTTATCACATCCCAGAATATTTTTCGATACTTCAAGCTCAATATCTTTGATCTTTCTGTCTTCATCCTTCTTCTTCATGCTCATGTGAATATCTCTACCGTACTCATTGTACTTCTGCTCCAGGAAATTCCTTATTTCCTCGTCATCAGAAGAGTCAGAATCATTGCCAATTAATATCTTATCAAGCTTTTCTCTCTCCGGATCTGGCTGCTGTTCTTCCGTGAGGAAATCAAATGTCCGGGAAGAACTTGGAGTGGGTTCCTCGTCGTTACAGATTTGCAGAAGCTGTTGCTCCAAGTCGTCCAACTCGGGGTCATCATTCTGGGAGCCAAATTGAGGCTCTGAAATGCTCATTCTGGGAATCTTCCTGTGCAAAACCAGAAAAGTGAGGTTGTTTTGCATGCAAGGGAACATTCATTTTGTACACAAACCTTTTCTCCACTGATATTTCACACGAGAATTATATTATCTGACCTTAATGTAATGTTAAATTATAAAATCCACACAATTCGAGTAAAATTACGTGAGTTTTGACTCAGAATGCGAGAGAAAGCGCTTTCCCTCCAAAACACACGCTCCCAATAAATTCCGGAAATCTGACAGTGGAAAATGACAACACCGAATCCATCGAAACGCCATAACCTCAGCGTTTTGTTTATATTTTGCTGGGAACGTTTCTGTGCGAAAAATCTATTTTTCCGTGATAAATTCTGATAAAGACGTCGTGTTTGATACGTAAAAGTGATCCAGAAACATGAGCGGTTCAAGTTCACGTCGAAGACGTCATGAGAGCTCGAGTTCGGAGAGTCTGGACAGCGCAGAAGAGGAGCGCCTTCGTGATATCAAGGAAAGGGATGAATTCGCCAGTAGGCTGAAGAAGCGGGATGAGGACAAGACGCGGCGGGTGCTGGAGACGTCTTCGAAGAAGGCTTATGAGGAGGCGGCCAAGAGATTGAAGTTGGAAGTGGAGGACAGGGATAAAATGCTGCCACAGTTGAGAATTGCCTCCCGAAGGAAGTATCTGGAGAAGCGGAAGGAGGACAAAGTGGCAGAACTGGAGGCTGACATAATTGACGATGAGTATCTGTTTGATGACACCGTGCTGACAGCGAAGGAGAAAGAGGACAGGGCGTATAAGAAGCAAATCCTCCAGATTGCCAAAGAACATGAGAAAGCGAGGGAGTTGGAGCGCATCCAGCGCTATCATATGCCGCAGGATATCAAGAAGGGAGACAAGAGTGAATATGTTGAGGTGGATGAGCGTGAGAAAATGCCTAATTCTGAGCAGAAGAAGTGGGAAGCTGAGCAATTGGCTTCGGCGGTGTTTAAGTTCGGAGCGAAAGACGCCGGATCATCGCGACAACAGGAGGAGTATGATCTTTTGCTGGATGATCAAATTGAATTCATCCAAGCTCTAACTCTCGAGGGCTCCAAGGACAAGGACAAGGGGAAGAAGGTGGAACTGACGGAGGCACAGCGTCGGAAGATGGACATTGAGGACACGAAGAAATCCCTGCCTGTGTATCCATTCAAGGAAGATCTGATTGCGGCGATTGGAGAGCATCAGATTCTCATAATTGAGGGCGAGACAGGTTCCGGGAAGACTACACAGATCCCTCAATATCTCTATGAGGCGGGCTACACGCGGGATTCCAGGAAGATTGGCTGTACGCAGCCCAGGAGAGTTGCTGCCATGTCCGTAGCAGCTCGAGTGGCTCAAGAGATGAGCGTGAAGCTGGGAAATGAGGTGGGCTACAGCATTCGATTTGAGGACTGCACGTCTGAGAGAACTGTGATCAAGTACATGACGGACGGAACTCTCCACAGGGAGTTTCTTTCTGAGCCAGATTTGGCTTCCTATAGTGTCATGATCATTGACGAGGCGCACGAAAGGACTCTGCACACGGACATTCTGTTTGGCTTGGTGAAGGACATTGCACGCTTCCGGCCAGAGCTGAAGTTGTTAATTTCCAGCGCGACATTGGATGCTGAGAAATTCTCAGCATTCTTTGATGACGCTCCCATCTTCAGAATCCCCGGAAGGCGATTTCCTGTGGACATTTACTATACAAAAGCGCCTGAGGCGGACTACATTGATGCTTGTGTGGTGTCTGTCCTGCAGATTCACGCCACGCAGCCTTTGGGAGACATTCTGGTGTTTCTCACTGGTCAAGAGGAGATTGAGACATGTAATGAGATGCTGACGGACAGAGTGAAGAGGTTGGGATCAAAGCTGAAGGAGCTCATGATTCTGCCGGTGTACGCGAACCTCCCCAGCGACATGCAGGCAAAGATCTTTGAGCCAACTCCACCGAATGCCAGGAAAGTTGTCCTGGCCACGAATATTGCTGAAACGTCCCTGACAATTGATAATATCATCTACGTAATCGATCCGGGATTTGCGAAGCAAAACAATTTCAATTCCCGAACGGGAATGGAGACTCTGATGGTGGTGCCGATCTCCAAGGCGTCGGCTAATCAAAGGGCAGGACGAGCTGGTCGAACAGCGCCTGGGATGTGCTTTCGGCTATACACAGCGTGGGCGTACAAGCACGAATTAGAGGACAATACAGTGCCGGAGATTCAGAGGATTAATCTGGGCAATGCTGTGCTGACACTGAAGGCGTTGGGCATCAATGATCTGCTGCATTTCGACTTTCTGGATCCGCCGCCGCATGAAACGCTGGTGTTGGCATTGGAGCAGTTGTACGCTCTGGGGGCGCTCAATCATCACGGGGAGTTGACGAAGTTGGGCAGGCGAATGGCGGAGTTTCCCGTGGATCCGATGATGGCGAAGATGCTGCTGGCCAGTGAGAAGTACAAGTGCTCGGAAGAGGTGGTGACCATCGCTGCCATGCTCTCTGTCAACAGTGCCATATTCTATCGGCCCAAAGACAAGATCATTCACGCCGACACGGCGAGGAAGAACTTCAATCACATGCACGGTGACCACCTGAGTCTGCTTCAAGTGTACAATCAGTGGGCGGACACGGACTTTAGCACTCAGTGGTGCTATGAGAATTTCATCCAGTATCGCTCTATGAAGCGAGCTCGCGACGTCCGAGAGCAGCTGGTGGGATTGATGCAGCGCGTGGAGATTGACATGGTGTCAGGATTGCCTGAAACGATGAACATCCGGAAAGCCATCACGGCGGGATACTTTTATCACATTGCCCGCTTGTCCAAGGGTGGGAATTACAAAACAATCAAGCACAATCAAACGGTCATGATCCATCCCAACTCGGCGCTGTTTGAGGATCTGCCGCGGTGGGTGCTCTACCACGAGCTGGTTTTCACCACGAAGGAGTACATGAGGCAGGTGACGGAGATTGAGAGCAAGTGGCTGCTGGAAGTCGCGCCGCACTACTATAAGCCCAAGGAGTTGGAGGATTCGACCAACAAGAAGATGCCCAAGACGGTGGGGAGGTCAACAATCACAGCTTAAGGGAACTGGGCGAGTAATATTTCTATCGTAAATAAAAGCTTTCATAGAGACTGGAAAGCGTTTATCCTCTCCCGTTTGGGATTTCCTTTGGTGGAAAGCATCACTGAAATCTTCCCTCGTCATGAGATGATAAAACGTTGATGGTTAATTAAGTCGATTGTGAGCTGAGCACTGCCTGGGGCTCATAGGAGTGGGTTGGGGGTGAATTTTCCACATTCTTGACCCACCCATACAATGAAATACTCTCCACGCCTCGATAAATCCCGTCGACAAGCTGATAAGTGGCTGACAGGGACGAATTGGGAAGGATTTCTTTTAACTCTCCCACTTTTCTTTATTAATTGTCTTATAAATCAAAACATAATAGATCACTCAATTTCTATACATGATTCTAGAATTTCTTTTTAAATAATTCTCTTGCGGTTACACACAAATCCTTATCAGTTAAAAGTCACGTTGAAAACAAATAAAAACTATGTCAATTTCTCTGATTGTTAAAAAAAGACATGTGCCAAATGCGTCTCTGACTTCCATTTCCTCTTCAGTACAATATCTCTTCGTCTTCTTCAAAAAGAAGGGAGGAAAAGAGTCGATGCGGGATGGTCTCTGAGGCTCTCGATATTGTATGTGATTTTAGTGCTCTTCAACTGTTGAATATCTAGTGGGTGGGATAGAGAGAGAGACAGAGCTTTCCCAACCCCCGGCAAAAGCTCTCCCGTGACGTCACAAATGGAATTTGTGCACAATCTGTGCGCGCTCTTTGAGAAGCGATTCGCACTGCGTGTGTTGGTGTGTGCCACCCAGAAAGCCCTCTCCACAGCTCCACACACGGCCGCCGGAGCTTTAAAAGTCTGTCACGGCCAGCAGTAGCTTTCAGTACCTTTCAGACACTCGAAGTGGAGTGGCATAAAGCGAGCTTGAGGTGGACTTTCGCGCGTGATTGTGTGTGATTCCCTGCTAATCTTTTATGCTACAGCTTTAATCTCAAGTGCTTCTGCTCCAGTTCCTCTTTTGTGACCACCATCCACCGTATTTGAGGTGAATTTCAATTTTCCGGAGTCACAGAGAAAAGCTGTGAATTATGAGATGCTCTTTCGGCATTTCATGTGCGATGCTGTGAAGATGTGTGATTGAATTCAGTGGCAAATTAACTTCTTTAACCCTCATACATTGCTTTCCATTGCTAACACAGACTAACTGGGTGGAATTTTGGGCCACAATGGTGGAGGACAATCGATCTGTGAGTAATTTATGCCCATATGATTGCTTTCCTGGCCGACAGAAGCCATTGGGTGTGATAGAGAGGAGAGATCTCGTGTGTTTTAATAACTGCAAATTCGATTGTAAACCATTGTCTGGAGTGTGAGTGCCTCTGGAGATTGCGTAATCTGACTCGTGGTGTGCTTCAAATGAGGCCTTGATGCACTTTCCAGCCACTCTTATTCACTTTTCTACGCAAGAAATCAACCCAAATCTAATCACATTGACCATAACTGACAAAAAAAAACCTTTTCCAGATCGACATGGAGGCGCCGGAATTCAAGGAGTTTGCCAAAGAGATGGTGGATTATATCGCCAACTACTTGGAAAATATCCGAGACAGGTAAATAATGTGATTCATAGTGAAAAATCCCCCCTCGAATCAACGCCACGCGAGAGATTCGTTGGGGAATTTCAATTCAATATTTCTCTCCGCATTTTTATTCTTATTTTGCTATGGGTCTTTACAAAAGCATTTGCACAAGAAAACCTGTTACTCGCGGGATTTACCTTGTGTGTCAAGGTGCTTTTTCAACACCTCTTGCGCTACCTGATTTTTCTCCCACTGCTCCACACACGCAAGAGAGCCCCCAGGTGATCTCTTTTACCGCCGAATTTCCCCACATTTGCACTTCCGACCAATTAGCAGCAATCGCAATCGCGCCTATTGACTTTGGGGGGCTTTTTCTGGTTGTATTGCTCGGTTTTCTCGCGTAAATGATTTGCTGCTGTGCTAAATTCCAGTCAGAGTTCGCAGAAGTTATGCATTTCAGTTCAATGACTGACTAAATTCCATCCAATTCAATACTAGGCTGATAAGAAATATTCCTTTATTATACCATCGAATGTGAATTCTAGCTACGTGTTTTTATAATTTGCACGATGCTGAGCGTGAATAAACTACATTGTTGTATAATACGCAAATAAATTCTGTACACGATTGAACCTGTTTCATTAGAAATAACAAAAGATCATAATAATTTCTTATTCCTTTCCTATGCAACTAGAGTCTTAGAAATTGGCTTTGATAAAAAAAAAGAATCATTGAGGAATTCAAGTGTGACGGACAATTTAGTATCAAATTACAAGGTATAAATTGCTAAATTGAATGTTAAGTCGTAACAAACATTAAAAAAAAACATGCACAACAATTTTTAGAGTTTTTGTCTAATCGTGTATTTCGGAACAAACTTGATTTTTTAAGCTGAGGCCAGAAATCACTTTAACATTCAATTATTCATTAAATTGTCATTGCTACAATTCTCTGATTTATTGTACAAACTATTTCTCTAATGATCAGAATTATCTTCAAGGAGGTCTCTTTCTATTTCTGCTTGAATCGTGCAATTAAATTTATCGTGTTAATTGAATCACTGGCGAGAAATGCTTCCTGTCATTATTGATTTATTCGAAAGTTAGACTGTGTGAAGACTCAGAGCTCAAACTGAAGTCGCTGATATGATTTACTCTTAAAATAACTCTCTCTCTTCCAGTTTGTCAGTAAAAAGTTAAGCTAATATTTTGAACATTTGAATTGTGGCTTCTGTTTATACTGAAATTAGCATTTTTTCTTCTCTTTGCCGCCGCCTGACCTCTAAGTTATGATTCTTGATTGTGTTTTTTGTATGTTGATATTAACGCTGGAGATGCTGATGACTCAGAAAATGTGTGTGAGATTTCAAGTTCATTGGAAGACATTCACCAAGTGCGGCGTGTTAAATAGTGCAAAAAGTTGTGTAATAAAAGCGAATATTTAGGCATTTTTTGCAATAACATTCGCTTTCGCTCCTCTCGAGAGATAAAATGCATGTATTATAATAAACGGACTGTCATGATTGTACAATTAATTGCGATAAAAACTCTTTATCAGCTGCTATACATAACTGTGATTAGAATTAGTACGTTACATCAATAAACATTTGCGCTATCTGTGGGCATACAAAGGTTCCTTGAAACAATCGTGAAACAAGAAACATTGATTTTGGTTCTTTCAATGCTCTCAATTTATTCTATAAGATCGTGAGCTATAAAACCACTGATTCGCAGTAAATTGAGACATGTCGAAAGCAGAATATAGAAGTATTCTTGAGATTTCAGCAACATTGTCGCCCCTTCACCACGAACCGCCAAGGCTTTTCCTTGTGATTGACACTCTGACTGACCTCTGACTTGATGACCTCCTCTCTCTCTCTCTTTTCCAGGCGTGTTCTGCCCACCGTGCAGCCAGGCTACTTGCGCCCGCTGATCCCCGACGAGGCGCCCCAGAAGCCCGAGAGCTGGCAGGATGTGATGGCTGATGTGGAGCGTGTGGTGATGCCCGGGGTTACGCACTGGCACAGCCCACGCTTCCACGCGTACTTTCCCACCGCCAACTCCTACCCGGCCATCGTGGCTGACATGCTGAGCGGCGCCATCGCCTGCATTGGCTTCACTTGGGTAAGGCACGCGCCAAACACATCGACATATATTCAGAATATAAAAGTTCATCGCTCGATTTAACTTAAAAACGATAAAGAGTGGAATGATAAATGCTTAAAGTGTATAAAAATTATGCATTAATTTGGCAAAGAATTTAATACTTTTGCCACAGTGCAAATTACACATAGTTTATTACTTATTTTATTGTTGAAAAGAGTTTAAATGTGTATTTATCATAAAAAAATTATCTTGTAGACAATTTCCATAGTTTTCCAAGACAGTTTAAGGCATACCGTGTTGCTAAGGTCAATTAAGCATGTAAAGCCTGACATTTTACATATATTCTTATATGCAGATCGCCAGCCCGGCGTGCACAGAATTGGAAGTTGTGATGTTGGACTGGTTGGGCAAGATGCTGGATCTTCCCGGTGACTTCCTGGCATGTTCTGGCGGCAAGGGAGGCGGAGTGATCCAGGGCACCGCCAGTGAGGCTACTCTGGTTGCTTTGTTGGGCGCCAAAGCTAAGACAATGCAACGCGTAAAGGAAGAACATCCTGAGTGGGATGAGGCGACAATTGTGTCAAAGCTCGTGGGATATTGCTCACGTGAGTAACTCAATTTACAAAGAGACGCTTGTGCTTCTGGTATTGATTGACGGTGTGGTTTTACAGTTCAGGCGCACTCTTCTGTGGAACGCGCTGGCTTGTTGGGTGGCGTAAAATTGCGCTCTCTGAAGGCGGATGAGAAGAACAGTCTTCGTGGTGAAACTCTGGAGGCGGCTATTAAGGAGGATCTGGCAGCCGGGCTGATTCCTTTCTACGTCGTAGCCACGCTAGGTACGACAAACTCCTGTGCTTTCGATTGTCTGGAGGAAATTGGACCGGTTGGGAACAAGCATGACATCTGGGTTCATGTGGACGCCGCATACGCGGGATCAGCTTTCATTTGCCCAGAGTACAGGTATCTCATGAAGGGCATCGAGACGGCTGATTCGTTCAACTTCAACCCGCACAAGTGGATGCTGGTCAATTTCGATTGCTCGGCTATGTGGCTCAAGGATCCGCGCTGGGTCGTGGACGCTTTCAATGTGGACCCGCTTTATCTGAAGCACGACATGCAGGGCTCAGCTCCGGACTATCGTCACTGGCAAATTCCACTTGGACGTCGATTCCGAGCCCTAAAGCTCTGGTTTGTGCTGCGTTTGTACGGCATTGAGAATCTCCAGGCACACATTCGTCGCCATTGCGGCTTTGCCAAACAATTTGAAAGCCTCTGTCGGGCCGACGATCGTTTTGAGATTGTCGGGGATGTGAATATGGGGCTAGTGTGCTTCCGCCTCAAGGGATCCAATGAACTCAACGACACTTTGCTGAAGCGCATCAATGGTCGCGGCAAAATCCATTTGGTGCCCTCTAAAATCAACGACGTATTTTTCCTTCGTATGGCCGTTTGCTCGCGATTCACCGTGTCTACGGACATGGAATTTTCCTGGCGGGAAGTCTCAGCGTCCGCTGATGAGGTACTTGCGGACAAGACGATGAAGAACGGACACGCCTAAGCTAGACAATTCACAACTTCACACCGTATTTATGAGTAACACTTTAAATCGAATGGGAACAATTTTTCTTCTTTTTGTGAAAATATACATACATCTATTGATAGATATTAAGAGACAATAAAGCTTTCTGTGTATTGAAAGAGTGTCTTTTTGTGCAAGTAGATAATTTTTTCGGCTTTAAAACGTGATGTTTTTGGCCATTTTGGCGGGACAGTGAAAGGTTTGTGTCTTGAATACGATTTCTAGTAATTCTTGCAATTGTTTTACTGTGGTTGGCAAATAAATAATACAAAACTGAGGGCTGAGTCTTGAAATTCGTCAAAATCAGAATCAGTGGAAATTGACTGATTTTGAGAAATTTGCGAGTCTTGAGTAAAAATCAGTCAGAAATCGAGTCAAAATTGGCTCAAAATCAATCAACTCGTGTTGACATGAGAACATCGAGTCAACACGATTGCTCGATGTCTCAATTTTAAGATTTTAATGCAATTTAAGTATCAAATTGACATCGATGGCATCGGAAATGGATAATAGAATAATTATTTTAATTGTTTTTAATATTATATTGATAATTTTCCTTATTATTGCTGAGATATAAGCATCTCTTTTCTTGCGCTCGCGTAAGAGGCTCAGAGACGGAGAATAATTTCTTTCCATGCGCGCTACCTAGTCCCTGAGAGTCCCTCTTTGCAGTGTCGAGGCAACGATAATCCCAATTTTATTATGTCATGCATAATCCTTGCCATAAACATTTTCAGTTTTGAAGGTATATTTAATTGAATGGGATTCCTAAATTCTTCGTCCTTTGCTTAGTGCTTAAGTCTCATGAATTATGAATCAATGAACTGAACATGTGAACAGACAGTACAAATCCAAGTGTAATCAGAAGGTGAACAATTGGTTGGACAAAAAAATTGATGGAGAAATTTTAGCAAAGGAGAAGAAGTTGATCTCCATCTCGTGGGGCAACTCAAGATCGCCCGCAGAAGTCTCATTCTGCTCCTGGGACTTCTCGTATAACCGCAGGAGAACATCTGTACGTTAATAATGCACATTATTCACATATTTGTCGCCTGAGGGTTAATTTTTGGTCTTCTTAAGGCGCTGAAGACACCCAATGATGATTCTTTGGGGGTAAAAGTTAAGTTTGAGCAGCATTTTTATCATTTTCTACCTCAAACACCGCAACTCGGCCCAAATCAAAACAACAATATGACGTTTCTGCCTGCGTTCCGAAAGCATTTTCCCTCCCGAAAAATTCCGAAGACTGATTTTGACTCAAGACTCACGAAACTTTCAAAATTGTGATCATGTCAACAAGTTAAAAATCGATGAGGTTCTGTTGATTCTGATTTTAACCATTTTCAAGACTCAGCCCTCTGGATTTTCTGTCTTAATATTATGATGTAACAAATAATCAAATATCTCTTTTTCAAAAAATTATGAGTTTATGTTGCGTATATTTTAGAGCGAATCCTAGATTTTAAAATGTATTTTTCTACACTCGATTGACTCGTGGTTTGGCGAAGTACAATAAATTTTATTATTGACCTTTTCGTAAAATTTCATGACGTAATTGCAATAATGTTTGAAAGTAAGAGCGTTTATAGATCGTGCAGAATATTGCTATCTTTGATTTCCGCAGTTACTTGAGGTCGAAGAGAACTATTACCTCGGCAATTGATGGCTTTCTTCTCATTGCTGTAGTTGCTGTATCACGCCGGCCGCTTTCTTTTCTGTTGGCAGAAGTCAAACAAGCAAATTTGTATTGAGAAAAAATGTCTGTTTATTCTCAAAAAAGGTGGCGAAAACAGAGAGTTTCTTAGCTTATGCAAACAAAAATGGTAAAAATACAAAGAAAGGAAAAATATCTCTCTCTCTCTCTCTCTCTCTCTCTCTCTAAAAGTAATTCTAGAAGACACACATGACCAAAATACAAATAGAAGATCTTCAATGTAAAATTATGTACACCAAGAAAAAAAACACTAATTGTATCAAATTCACTGGAGCCTCTCTTCGGACGACATAATGGTGATCTCTTTGGAGAAACGATCGCGGAGCTTCTCTGAAACTTCTTCAGCAGCGATTTGCACTTCCGTGAGGGCCAAGAGAATCTCTTCGACGGCAAAGTCTACATCCTTCACCTGAGGATCTCTGCCACAGATGGCGAATCTGATCACAAGCTTTTCTTGAACGTTGCCGTGAATCATGTAGATCTTCTTGCGCTCTGTGATCTTCTCGAGAAGCTTCTTCGTAGCGGCACAGCCGTTGCGAAGACGGAAGCAAACTAGGCCCATCGTTGCCTCGCCGATCACTTCGAAACGATCATCGGTTGTGATCAAGGCCTGGAAGTGTTGAGCCAGGTGGATCTGGTGTCTAATGTGATGTCGAATGGCCTCAGCGCCTACGGTTCGCAATGTGATCCAGAGCTTGAGGGCGCGGAAGCGCCTTCCCAAGGGGATTTGCCAGTGACGATAATCGGGAGCTTTAGATTGTCCCTTAAATGAGAAATATAGTGTTTGATTAAAATTTTCTTTCGATGAGAAGCTCGAGGTTCCAATGAAAGTCTTTGACAAGTAACGTTTGATCAATTTCAGTCTCTTTATACATTTATTTTAAGTGTGTTTGGCATTGATTTTTTTTAGGCACGATAAAATATATTTTGCTAACACCTGAGATTCTTTATAGTCTTGTTTGTTATAATAAATGCGTAAGCAAACATTTGTACTTTAAGTGATTTGAATAAGAAAGATTATGAATTTGTTAACAAGGATTTGAAAAAAATGCCAAAATAAGAGAAGATTAATTGCAAAACAGCCTAATAGAGCAATTAACAAGCAGGTAATATTTTAATGATATGCGAAAGCGATCATGAAGATTAACTTTTGTAATGCAACTGGTTTGTCCTTTGATTAGGACACTGGAAAAATTCCATAAATACTGAAAGAATCTCTTATGGAAACCTAAACAGAAATCATTCAGTCTACTAGTGATCCGGAAAAAATCACGAGTTTATTATAAGGGCACGGCATGATAGCATTCAAGGGGTTTTTGCACGTTAAGTCACTCAAAATCCCTGAAGTGTTACATGAAAATTTTCACTGGAACTTCCGCTAATGTGAATTCCTTGGTCAATATGTAATACACAGTATATCGCACGAACTTTTGAGACTCAATGAAAGCACAAATCGTCCCTGATTGCATTTTCTCAATCAACTCCCCATTTTCCGGGAAATCGCGTGTCGAATGCGGACTTACTTGGTAGCGATGCTGCAAATAGATGCGATCGACGTTGAAGGCCTGGACCAGGAGGTCGGCATTCTTGAGCCACATTGCGCAACAGTCGAAGTTCACCATCATCCACTTGTGCACGTTGAAATTAAAGGACTCCGCCAGCTCTACGCCCTTCATAAGGTGTCGATATTCAGGACAGCAGAACGCCGCTCCGGCGTACGCGGCGTCGATGTGGAGCCACACATTGAATTCCCGGCACACCTGGCCAATCTCCTCGATGTCATCGAAGGCACAGGTGCCGGTGGTGCCCAGTGTGGCGACGCAGATGCTCGGGATGTTACCCGCAGCCAGATCTTCCTCAATGGCACGCCTGAGCGTGTCTCCGCGCAGGGTGCACTGACCATCCGTGGTCAGGAGACGCATGGGCATGGCTGACAGGATTCCCGCCTTCTCTACAGCGCTGTTGCTCTGATCACTGGAATACGCCACAAGACGACCTCTGACATCGCTCTCGCTCATCTCTGGGTTTTCGATCTTCATCTTCCGGACACTCTGTTCGCGCGCTGCCAGCACGGCAATAAGGATGGACTCACTGGCAGAGCCCTGAATCACACCTCCGCCTGGGCCGTTGTGGCAGTTGAGGAACTCCTCGGGCAGACCCAGAAGCTTTCCCAACCAATCCATCACGATCACTTCGAGTTCCGTGCACGCCGGACTGCAAATCTGCCGGAGAAAATCCGAGAAAGACAGAGAAAATATGTGGGTTGAGCAAATATGACACACTCAAGTCTCTCTGTTGCTCGTTGGAATTCAAATTATTCCTCAAACTCACCCAGTTGAAGCCCACAATGCCAAAGCCGGAAGAAAGGAGTTCTCCCACGATGGCTGGATAGGAGCAGGCAGTTGGGAAGTAAGCATGGAAATTGGGTGACTGCCAGTGAGTGATTCCTGGGAGAATGAATTTCTCCATTTCTTTCATAACTTCACGCCAATTTTCCGGCTGTTCTGGCAGCACTTCTGGGAGGAATTTGTGCAAATAGCCAGGATGGACACTAGGCAAAACATCCCTGAAAGTATAGACAAATGCGAAATGTGCGTAACAGATTTTAGAGGTGTGAATAAATTTGTGATCATCATTGAGCATCGGCAAAACCCATCTTATCGCATGCTTCATGGATATAGATCGCAATCGTGGATCAATGTATCGAATAGTGGGTAAATTGAAAGTATAAACTGAAAATTAATAGCATTCTAAGAAATATATTATCATCTCATCGCCGTAAATCAATGATCGTACGCGTATTTTTACGAAAAAAAATCCATTAAATTCTACTCACTGATCGCGAATGTTCTCAAGATAATCCGCCACAAAGTCCACTGCAGCTTTTCCAAATTCACGAAACTCATTGACATCCATTGTCTGTTGAGGAGAAGATCTGAGCACCACAATAGAGAGATGAAGAGACACAGAGCACGATCACTTGTGAACTGATCCGCGGTCGTTGGCGAACTGAAGATCACTCGCGTACCTTAGTGCGCCTTTAAATCACCTGGAAATCTCTTCCTGAAGTGGAATCTTGTAGAATGAGTGAGAGTGGATCTCGGGCACTTTCTATAGCCGATTCAGGCACGAACAGCAAAAGTGTTTTGACTGGACCAACGAATGGGGCTCAGCACGCGGCCAGAGGTCGAACACGAAGTTTTCCCACCCAAACTCACTATTGCACCGCGATTCTTGCGTGAGATTCCCCGCCTGAGAGAAATACGCGCGCTGAGTAAATACTATTCACTGGGTTTATTGCACTTTCTCCCAACGTATAGTCATATAAAATTGCGATAAAAATTGAGGTGGGAAAGACAAATCAATGCAGTTCAATGTCAATGCCGAGGAAATTGCTGACCATGCAAATCACTGATCTTCACTGCAAGTGGCGAATCTCTATATACTCATCGTTCGTGTGAAGTAGACTTAACGGAAGATCAGAGCGAGTTTGTGAAGGCTTGTACAAAGTGAATCAACTCTGACTGGGAAGTGTACACTGCATACTATAGTTGGGATGCTCACTTGTGACTTCTCGTGACACATCAAAGATGCAAAAAATTCACCACATTTTTCGCTTGTTTATTCCCTTGATAGATCACAACTTAATAAACTAACAATATCTACGGATTTAAAGGCACAAAATAAATTAAATCAATAAATTGTGGCTAATGAATTAACTATAATGACTAAATGCAGATTCACTGTGTAATTGTCTCATGTGAGTCACATGCGACGATTTCATTGTAGTTTTTTACGACTTACATACATTGTTTGTTTTTTCCTTTTCTCTCATTCTCTCAACGCTGAAACGGCGCAAATAAAAATTTAATTCAATTTTTCACGTAGAGCTGAATTATCCAACATCTCTATCCATCCGAGCCATGAGGTCGTGTGGAAAATGTGCAGTGGAACAATTTGAAGGGAAATTGCACGAACATGTCTGTTTACTCCACAGGGAATTATATATATATATATGTATATACATATATATAAGCATAAATAAGCGTAAAGGGAAAATGTTACACAATATCCCTCAATTTATCCACCCACCACCCCCAAAAACACCACCCATTCCCATCGCATGAACATAGTGCGAACAATTTTGCCACTGCAGGCATGTTTCGAGGCATCCTTTAACAGAACTCCGCCATGGGTGATAACACTTGTGTGGGAGGGCGCAATATTCCATCCCCCATGAGGATAAGCTTAAAGTTTTACACACACCCGTGTGGAGAATGTTCAAGGGATTAAACTGGTGAGTGAGTCTTTCATTATTTACTCAATCACTTCTCATTAAGCTCCAAATATTGCGCTCGCTCGCAAAATCTCATACGGCAATATTGAGTATCTTGAGACCCCCATAATGGGTTAATCTAATTGTTCTCTCTCATCTCCGTGGAGTGTCTTGAAGGGATTTACGATACAGGGGCTCTTGACTCCTTCCAGGATAAACATATTTGCAGTCCAGATTGAAGGACTAACAATGGCGAAGCGAGCTCGAAACGGACGTTATACCGATGAATAAATAACTTGTCATCGGGTGAAATCTCCCCAAAAAGCACCCCTACAGAATATTACCCAAAAGCATATCTAGCTGGGATGAAATATGAAGTCGGGTTTTATGGTTCCCATGACAACCCTCACCATCATCCCTGTCTCCTCTATTTAGCTCATTCTTAAAACCATCTCCCATTTGCGTGAGGAAACACTTGTACGCGGAGTTTTCCGGGAGAGACCCCGAGCCAAATGAATTGGATTTCACTCCGAAGGATGGTATTTGTGAATTCTTTCAACTGCTTCCCTCTTCACATTGCCTCCAAGACTTTTCTGAAGTAAGGGGATATTCTCGATTGGAATTTTTAATCAGCTCAACTGTGGAGAATCATAAGCAGATGAGTCATTTGAAATGTAAGAAAGAATCGATTTTCACTGAATAAATATATACTGAATATAAATCCATCTGATATGGTTAATTCATCAGGTAAGTATCCTTGAACGACAGTCTAGAAAAGCTTGAAAGTAAATTTCGCAGATGCGTCGAGACGCAAGCACATTATGGTTATTATTATAGGAAAATTGGAAATCGTTGTTTGGTGAATATTTTATCACTTGTGGAATTCAAAAGATCATAATCATAAAGAATATGAATTTTCTTCATACTTATAAGTTGATATGAATATTCAAATACTTATAAACATTTCAGGATAATGCAGAATTGCTCATAGAGTTCATTTAATGCTAATCACATGACAGGAGCGTGACTTCAACTCTCTGCTAGACTTAATTGCAGATTTAAAGAAGAACTCGACATAACTTTGACTGACATTAGAATCCTCTTTTCGTTCCTACAACAAAAAGCCTCATGAGAACAAAAAATACCTCTCTGGTTAACCACAAAATGACTGTGTGTCGGAAGACACAATCTCCAGGCGAACTTTAATGTGCGGATGGTTAGGAAAAAGCCTAGGCTTTTTGCATTTCATCCCTGCTTTTTGCGCAGAGACGAGATGGATGGTGAGGAGCATTGCGCTGACATTTATATTGAAAAAGGATAAAAAGTGGCGAAGAAGAAGGGGTTGAAAATGGATGGTTACTCCACCTACTGATACCCATTTCTGTGTCGGGCTATACATCATCTTTCGGTGCACTCACCCCTGGAATGGAGGGATAGTTTTGCAAGAAAAGCCGAGCGCGAGGGTGGAAAATGGGAAAATTACTGAAGATGGGCGGGTCGCTGTTCGCTCGACCAGCTTAGCAACGCGAGGGTGGATCCAATCCCCGCCAAGCCATATCGGGACACGAGGAAGGGATGAAATGGCGAATGGGTGCGCATGTGAATTGCAATGTGGCTCCGAAGCTCAAGAATGCAGCCTCCTGGGCCTGCCGTCCGAAGTTTCAGCATGATAGACTCTGCACACTGACGGGCTGGCCGGTGATCTGGTGAACTGTGCTGTTAAATGATCGGAACGGATTTGTGATCCACTATTGTGTGACCAATTGTGAGAAAGACCCATTGATTTTGCTGGCTTTTGAAAAGATTGAAACGCAGATTCATGTTTGCCATCCATGGAATTTTACACTTTTCAGTCGTCAAAATATTTTCCGAGAATTCACACGTGCTTCAGTCACCTTCTGCCTGCGTCTTGGGCTAGGTTCCGTCGCGTCTCCACCTGAGATCATCAGTCAGAAGCAGCCGTCCAGTGACGATCCCGCGGGCACTGCTGCTCCGACACCGCGCACCGCGAGATTGACTCAAGGGATCCTGAAGTGCGTCAAAATGATCAAATTGGTGTGTTTCTGAGAAAAAGTGAGGGTTTTATGAGTGTATTAATAGCAAATATACACTTCGCGTCAAGGTGATAAGCTACTTGTGTTTCCAATAGAGTACATATAAGTAGTATCTATTTTTTCCATATTTATTTACTCTTTTTTCCTCTACCCACTGATACATACACTTTTGTCAAAGAGATAACACGCAAGTGAAGAAGCTCACCAGTTCCTTCGTCACATATCGCCACAAAATGAACAGTACATTTCAGTGTATGACGGACCGTGATTGACTTTCGAGCTCGAGGATCGGGAATCTCCTGGTCCGTGACTCTCTGTGCAGTGAAGGATTTATCAGTGAAAGCCGAGGCCAGAGTCCTCGCCAAGTGATCTAATGTCGGTGTGCGTGACTTCATCGGCGAACGGGGCCTCCATGGCTCTGCCCCACTTACCCCTCGTGTCCTCAATGATGGGCCAGACACACCACGCAATGGCGCCAGCGAATCTCGCCGTGGACCAGCAATCCTCTGACCACCCCAACCCCGACATGCTCCTCGCCCTCATCGCTCGCAACAAGGCCCTCGAAGGTAAGCATGTTTTGCGCGCTCCCGGCGGCATGCATAACCCACTTTCCATAAACGTGAATGATAACAAATCCACATTGAATTTCTGCACTCTTTCCCATCCATTCACCACCATTCTGAAAATTCTGGAAAAATTCCCCATCGTTCAGTGTCAGAGAAATCACTTCATTGGGTATGAATCTGATTAGAGTCTTTTCGTTGCCAGCCCACTCACTCCTCCACCTCCGCCCGTGTCCATGCTGAAGAGATAGTGGCGATATTCCACGCAACATACATTTGTATTTTACAGGGTCTTATCGAAAACCTGTCATGTTCAAAAACACAACACTTCAATAGAACGTGAGCGATTATGACAGATTTGTGAATAAATCAGAAATCAGTCGCTAAATTGTCATTTCAAGTGCGATAAGGAGACACTCTCTGCTTTTTTTCTCCACTCAACACCACTCACCTCTAATCACAATTGTACGTATTAACTCGTCAATGTGTCGTGGCGACTTTCAGCCATTGCAACTCGATGTGTTTCGAAGCAGAAACTGTATTGATATTGCAAAATTGATTTGGGATTTCTATTGTCGGAGTAGGAAGAAATATTTTATTTAATATTGACTCTGCGTACATAGAGTACAGTGGTGGAGAGGAATAGATGCTATAGAATAAGTTAAGCACTTGATTAATGCAAAATAAGCTCATTAATTCCAACAATGATGGTGTGCACAAATATATTACATATTCGATCAAATTCAATTTATACTAATAATCCATTTCAATTGTGATATTTTCGAAAAGCTCATGGAGTTCAGCATCAATTTTTGTGGTCTCATATGATATTCTACCTGTTCCGTAACAATCATATTGATAATCTAAATTAAAGTGGCAAAAAACTTAGAGATTTCTTTAGATTACAGTTTTGCCTTATCACACTGCCTTTCACCACTTCATATCTTCGGCTGAGCTTGAGATTTCTCGTAACGGATAAAGCTTTCTAGAAGAAGCCTCAGTTGAGGATTAAGTTCGCAAATCGTCAGAGTGAGATTGTCCAGGGTTATTTCGGGTATAGCCAGCTTAAATACCCCTGGCTCTGGTGAAATACCTAGATTATGGGTGGCTCAAGAGCACCCACGATGACGAGCGTTGTAATCAATGAAATTGTGACACAATGGGTAGTGATTTCCCATCGTGTGACACCTTTTGTGGCCACTCGAGTATCACTTACAAGAATCTCTGGCTCATGTTTTTCACCACTCTTCTAATCGTAATATTTCTGAGAATCTTATCACGACTTGTTCTGCTCGGCCACAGAAAACACAAACTATGTCTTCTGCGAGTGGACATATTCTGCCGATGGTTATCTTCGGCACTGTGATCGACTTGATAGTCAGTGAACAAGGTGGCAGGAAGACGCATTTGGTGGCCAAAGAAGTGATCTTTGTACCAAAGAAATAAATCGATTTAGTGCGTGATAACATTTACATCGAATTGTTGTTGATCTGAAGGAAATGTTATAAGCTTGCACAACGCACACTATTATATAGTTTTCAAAAGTGGAAGATTAGTGATTGATTGTAAATGGCTCTTCACACAATCTTTCGAAATTTCAAGCCTTGCAGTTGTGTGAAGGGGATTAAATTGATTGTCAGAAGGATTAGACAGAAGGAATTTCATAAGAATGAACCAGAAAGAACCTGTTAAGAGAATTCTGAGCATTGGATGCAAAATCAGGTCGTTCAACCCAATCTTTTTGTGAGAGAAAACCCTTAAATTCTTTCCCCTAAGACCGCCAGACTCTTTACATATTCAGACCATTTTCTACAACTCTGCAGTAAAATTATTAACTTAATGTCTGTGGGGATTTTTTCCTGCGCTCGTGTGCTCAAAAGTGAGTCACGTTTCCCTCGAGTGGATTTTCTACTTCGTGAGACTCAATTTGAGAAGTTTTGCAGTCTTGAAGATCAATACGGCGGCGAAAATGCACTGATAGTGAGTTTTCTTGTACACATTGCTCAAGAGCCGCTGTTTGTCAGAAAAAAGCTCATTCTGTCTCTCTCTCTGTCTCTGAGTACTTTAAGTTGAAAAGGAGGTTGAATTACTATCAGAGTCACGCTCTTATCTCCGGCCATTTGTATGTGGAAACACGTCTCTTTGTAACACCCAAACAATAAAAGATCGATGCTTTTAGATTTCCTCCGCATCCCCCTCGGGAGTCGGATTGATTGTTCTACGAGGGGGTGTGCCAGGATGGAAGCTCTTCGGACAAATCGACAGCACACAAGGAGGGTTGGAAAAAATGTCATGGAAAATGGCACAATGGCGATTTTCTTTTTGTATTCTGCCAATAGATAAAAGAGGGATAGAGAGATTTTAGAAGCGACTCATGTGGATGCCTTCTTCTTGAATCCTCGTCTTTTCGACACAAAGAAAGGCGCATTGATTGAGACTTTTCTCCCCTCATTTTGGGCATCTCGTTCCATTGCGAAGGCGTTTTCACCACAAGGAATCCTACCGCTTACGAAAACATCCTACAGGGAGACAAAGAAAAAGATACTTTCGTCGACAAGCACTCTCGTGTGATCACAATTAATTGATTTCTGTGTCCATTAGCCCGACAATTATGCACAAAGTGTGTCTAATTGAATTCCCCCCGATGAGATCCAATGTCTATAAAATATGCATCGACCTCACTTTAGGCTGCCACCCATCCACAGCCTTTTAACTTAATAACATACGCCCTCACGTGCGTGTCGGGTGGGTCACGTGAGTCCGCGAAGGGGGCGGAAGAGCCTGGCGTTTAGCACTAAACAGGAAAAAAGAACAATGATGAGGAACGCATGGGCGGATAGGGTTTCAGTCGCGCGAGTGACCGCGTTCCGTGGGAATGAGACTCCTTAGCTGGTTTATGCGATAGGCTTCAATGTTTCAAATATTTCACGAATATTTCGTGTATCTATTCTCGAAAGATAAATATCAAGACGAAGATCAGATTTTAGACCATACTTTGGCTAGTTTAATCTCCAATAAACTGAATATCCTGGTTAAACATTTCAAAAACATATTACCTTTATCAAGAATTTTCACACGATATGTGAATTTCTGATGTTGGAAACCTTATTGTTGTGAAGTAACTTTTGAAATTTGATCGAGTCTTTTTTGTACATCACACCCTCTTGCCGTTTATTCCTCCAAATCCCATAAACCTTACAGCATTCAGGAAAAGGATATTGTGTTTCACGAGACGACACACATAATATTGATAATGTGTTATTTTGTCCTCCAGTGTGTCTTTTTTGCCCACTCTAGAAGGGACAACAATCGGCACGTGCTGCTGCAGAAGGTGGAGGAGGTGCAATTGCAGGGTACTTGAGGGAAGACTTTGACTGATGGCACCACAAAAGAGCGCGCCTCACTTTGTGATTTGTAATCCACGGTGCACGCATATGGTTGTGGGCGATGAAAAATTGGTTGCGTTGTGAAATATAAGAACATCTGTGCCTCTGGGGCTCGTCAGGATCGCAGGAAGAGCTCAGGTCGATGCTATCGGTGGTGCTTTATCGTCTAAATTCACGGAAGGTGATGGTTTCAATCACCCTTTTCTCTTGCAATGGTCGGGTGAGGGTCGGAGGCAACAGCATTAAGTCAGGTAGTCAATCATCATTTCGCGACGCAGCGGGGTGGACGCCAGGGTCTTTGTTCCGGGAGGGTGAGAGCGTGGATTTTAGGGCAGCATGACGTGACTATTTGGCGTGGTAGCAGCAGGGCATTTAAATGTTATGGCAACTAATGGTGGGACGCCATTGAGGATCATCTGCTTTGAAATTGTGATGATTCACGGCGCTTGTTTTGCCCCATATTCATGTATCTTACCACCTACAATCGCACCTTCTGGCGGGATTCCATTGTCGAGAGGGAAAATCCTTTCTACCATGTCAGCAGGAGACCAACACAAAAAATCTCTACACTCGACTTCCCTCTGCAATGCACCCAAGTGCCCAAATAAATATTGACTGTTTCCATAACTATGTTTGAAAGCATACAGCACACAGCAATTTCAAGTAGAATAAACAAGAATCAATACAGCAGGGCAAATATTGAATGGTGAATATTAAATAAAAAGAAGTATATAACTTATTCATGGAATTCCAACGTATAGGATTTGGATCACAGAGAATGTGTCAATTTTCAATCAGTTAATGTTCCGGAAATCCTTGATGCATTCTCTGAATGTAGCATCTTCCGTCAGAAACCGCCCAAGTAATACGACTGAATATCCGGAAGTGTGCAAGTGTGATGGGCACGTGTCAGTGTTTAGCTGTGGTTGCGCGCAACTCGAGCAAGTCTTCACGCAACCTGAGCATTGGCGGACCATTGTGATTCTTAGCAATTAGCACGCCGAAAATGTTTGCTCATTTTTCAATTATTTCCCATAATGTGGCTGGTTGGGTGTGGGAAAATTCAAGGGTTTTCCGCAAGTGGGGAGAGAGTTTAGTGCCCGAGGCGGAAACCTCAACGAAAAAGGCAACTGTTTGCATATGAAGTCCGAATGGATTTTTGCCTCGAGCTGCAGACAATGTGTGGAACTCTGTTTTGAGTTTTCAATGGGAGGGAATTCGTCTTTCACAGAATGTTGATGAAAAATCATGATGTAGAAAAAATCTGTAGCGCCAATGAAATAGAAAGTCTTCCTGGATTAAATCATCCAAAAATACCACAAAATTCGTTTGAAGTGGGTAAAAATTTAGAGTCTGTAAAAACACAGAAGCACCATACATTTCTGCAGTCATAAGTCTTCCATAATTGACGTTTTCTGGCTGAATTGGGATGCCGAGGGACGGGGTTCTGATGAGCAAAATGACTAACCAACAGTTCAACCCCTGTTCGTATTTTTTCCTTCATCCTTCGGGGGAAACTTTGGAGGCTTCACTGGGAGAGGAACGGCAGAAAAACGTCACATCAAATAATCAGAAGGGGTGGTAAGTTATTGAATTAAGATTGATATAAATCCACCA